GAATTTGTGTAGTCAGGGCAGTGATTTAAGACTCACTGACCACTCTCCGTTTTTTTTATTCCAACTACCACCCCAAAAGTGTAGATAAAAGTTGTAGGAGGAGGATAAACGTGCCACGAACCACGTGCATCTCAGATGTGAAAAAAATGAAGCGCAATAAACAATATCCCAAAAAGAGAGTTACCAGCTATTTTACAACCTCAATGAATTGAACTATATTACTATGAACAATATACTACTCGCATTATAACTACAACTTTCTAATTTTCAAACATTCAAGAAAAGGTCCCACAAATTCCCAAAACATTTTTAACCGTTTGTCATAAAGAAATAAATGCGTATCAACTGGAAAACTTATTTAAGGCACTATTAAAAAAATATATACATATATAAGTTAAAATATTTATTCAAAAAAGGTCCCACAAATTCGCTGCAGAAAACATCCAAATTATATTTTAAACATTTTTAACAATTCGTCGTAAAGAAATAAATGCGTATCAACTGAAAAACTTATTTAAGGCACTATTAAAAAATATATATAGGGTAAAGTACCCAATCATTGGCACTCTAAGAGAGAACTGCATGTCAGTCTGGAATTATATTGTCATAAAATCCCATTTACATTAGTTAATAAACAAAACATGTGACAAAATCAAAGAAAATACTTTAATCTTTGTTTTTTATAACAGTTTATAAGTGATTGAATAATAATAAATAAACATATGCTCAAAATCCAAAAGACTGCAGAAAATCCTATTATTGGCATAGAAAATCTCAATATTGGCCCCTATTCGTCTAATTATATTTATTGGCATGTAGTTCTAGTAGGAGATATGTAGGTACCTATCTATCAATAAAGTTGAAAATAGTTACTTAACGTATAATTAAAGCAATATTTTATTAATTAAATATCTGCCTTTATTTACATAAGTAATCTATCTTATAGTAGGTATTTAAAATGTGCATAAAAATATTTTGTAATTCAATTTTTATGCCTAACATAAACACTTTTTCTTATTCTAGCTACTAGTTTCACTTTATCAGTACTTAAATGCCTATCCTAGAGATCTTTTAACATTTATGCTTAACCACCAACAAAATATTAATGAGTCGGATTATGAACCTACTTAAAAACAAATACTACTTTATATAGGTACCTAGTTCGCAGTGTTCTAGAACCAAAAAGTAACATTAAGTTAATTTCCGTTATTGTTAACTTTTTGTTAGTTCTAATATGACTTTCATGATCATGATCTAAATGAATAAAAAAAAACAATATTAGCACTCAATATTCTATTATGGGCACTACTGCCAATAATTAGCTTTTAGTTATTGGCACGGGTGCCAAGAATAGGATTTTGATAAATTCTTGATCCATATGTTGGCACATGTAATAAATCAATGTGATAAAAGATATATTCAAGAAATAATCTTTGAATCTATTGCCTAAACGTGTAATTAAGCATATCAAATTAATTCAAAAGTATCTATTAGCCGAATAGCTGCGATATACAATGATTAAAAAAGGTCTCACCTTAAGAAAAAAACAAAATAACTACACCAAATCACAGGGTGTTTTACCCTAAGTTAAAATATTTGAATATAAAAGAATAAATTTGAAACACGTTCAAAAAATAGAAATAATAAGTATTAATACATAATTGATGCATATTTGGATAATTGAAGAACCCATAGATTTGAAACTCGCGCGCTTTCTGTCAAATTCTATCGTGCAGCGGGGTTGACTTTAGGTGAAGTTATAGATGCGCGCTCAGAATACCACTTAAGGGCGAACCAGAACTTGGCGCTAGCACAACCGTCGGACTAGTAGTGTGGTTTTTTTTCAAGGTTATATACAGGATGTAATGGTAGTGTTTTATGCGTGTAGGGTCGGCTTTATTGTTATGTGCAAGTCTGCAGGGTAGTATTAAGTACGTGTCGTTCACTTAACCGACCCCTTCTACCACCCCCACCCCCCACCGCCCCATAAATATTACCAAACAAGGTAGCCTACCTAACCACCACCATGTTTTCAATTTCTTTGAAAAATGTCAATTTTTAAAGAGTATTTTAGGGCACTTCCGGAATGGTTAGAAGATTAAAAAAGTATGCATCGTGTAGAAGGACTTACGAGCTTTAATATGGTAGTGCCAGACTCTTAAAAGTTAATTAGTTCGCAAGATACTGGGTATTTTCGACACCATGTTTTCAATTTTTTTGAACAATGCCAATTTTTAGAGGCAGTTTTAGGGCACTTTAGGAAGGGGTAGGAGATTGTAAAATAATGCAATGTGTATAGGAACTTTCGAGCTTTAACATGGGTGTAAAACATACTAAAGAACCCGCTAATTTCACAAGATACAAAGTGTTTTCCATACAATGTTTTCATATTTTGTGAAAAAGGTCAAGTTTCAAAGAGCATTTTAGGGCATTTCCAGAAGGGTTGGAAGATTGAAAAGGTATGCATTGTGTAGGGCGACTCTTGAACCTTAAGATGTTGGTAAAATACTTCAAGAAAGTCAATTAGCTACTGGGGTACAGGTTGTTTCCGACAGCATATTTTTAAATGTTTGTAACAACGCTAATTTTAATAGGTACTTTTGGGCACTGCCAGTAGTCTGTTATCACCTATAACACCTAAATATATAAAGAATTTGGTCGATCAAGGGAAATATGAAACAACAACAAGCTTTTCCATTAAACCAACGTTGTCAAATTTATTTCAATATAATCATAATCCAACTCACGTAGTACGACTATAGATGTGATAGCTGCGGTTTATTCAAGGTGTAGCCTGTGTAATCAAGCAGTGTCGTTTTGCAAGAGGGCTATCGAAATCACGGAAAAAAATCTCGGAAAAAATACATCCAACACTCGAAACTCTACACAAAGATCTAGTATTATACCAGGAAACTGACAAACACGTCATAATAAGCGGACGTCATACAAAGCGTTTTGTGAAATGATAAAGAATTTTATATGAAAACCAAACTTCGTACTGTAATTACATCATAATAACCGGTTAGTCAATATAGGCGGAGTCATAATAAATGGATTCTACGGATTCTGTAATTATCAAATGACTCAGCGTTGATATGTTGACCAGCATAATTGCCATTAGCTATATCACGTAGTTAACAACTAAACCGCGAACAACGAACATAATCATTTACTTACGTCTCTCGTTTTAGAATGGAGAACAAAATTTCTCAATTTCAAGTGATTAACAAGCTGGAGAATTTTGAAGCAAAGTATATTACATGTGCGTATTGTAAAACGTGGTTGACACCAACAGTCTACATTCGCCAAGATGGTGCATATTGGTGCAGTCACTGCGTGCCAAAAGAAAATAAAACTTCAACACGTGATAAGTTTCTGGAAACCATGTTGACGAAGTGGAAGTACCCATGCAGATATGAAGATTGTGATTATGTGAAGAATTTGACTGGCATTCATGAGCATATGGCTACATGTGTGCAGAAAACAATTATATGTCCATTTTGCACAACGGATAATTTGACAGAGTTGACGATTGCTGAGCATTTACTAGAGTATCACGAATCTGTGGTCTCTGACATTACAATTGAAGAACCATTAGCTGAACTATATTTTACACCGCCGCTTCAGGATAAGCATGTATACGTAATTTCTTACAAAGGCAATACGTTTGTTGTTCTGGCGAGAAATTTTGCGTTTGCAATTGGCAAGCAATCAGTAGATGAAGACTTTGAGGGTGCTTGTGATAAGTTCATGATTCAGTACCAATTTGAAGAGTTTGAGTCACGGATTGTAGGATATGCTGTACGTCTACAAGAATTATTCAGTGATAATATACGTTTATTACGTATGCCACAATTGCAAGAGAATGATTCTGCGTTGGAATTGAATGTATTTTTCAATGACTACGAAGAATATCGAAGTGTGATGCGCGAATGTGACATTTGCATGAATAAATTCACAAACGAAGTGTACTTCTGCCAGAACTATCATGGCGTTTGCAAATCGTGTATTTCAAAGATTAACAAATGCGCTACTTGTGGTACGCCGGTCAACAAGACGATGATCGATCTTAAAAGGCATTTGTCACAGGTGCCATTTCCGTGTCCAAACAGTACCTCTGATGCTGATGGTGGATGCATCGCATTGGTCCGTCTTGCTGATTTGGACCCACATCTAGCAAAATGTCTTCATGCTAAAATAAAATGCATGTGTTGCAATGCAGACGTTGCAAGGTACAATATTGCGAAACATATTGAAGAGACGTTCGTCCTGTATCGGAACTTTCACGTGTTTCATGCGAAAGTCGTTGATGGAAAAGTAACACCCTTCAGCTCATACATAAGATACCAACAAAAACTATTATATTTTGTCGTATCAACGAATGTCAATACTACGGTGAAAAGTGGAGCTTTAGAAGATAAGCAAAGTGTGTTTTTTTATGTTCAGTTACTCTATGATGATTTAAACGTCCATCACAACTATCGCTACGAGGTAGATCTTTTACAAGAAGATGGAAAACTTTTACATTCTGTTGGAAATTTGTGTCAGCAGATAGGAAATACAGACACGAGCACAAGCATTAATTGGAACTTTTGTAAAAATGCATTGCATATGCATTACGCTGAAAATGAAGAAAATGTCGAAGAAGTAGTCAAATTTCGACTTTGCATTTACAACGTTTCCAAAATGTGAAAATGATGCAATTCATGAATAACTTTTAAACATTTAATTCTTTTCTTGGTAGTTCTATTAGTTCAGTTACTTAAATTTAATTCATCCATCCGCCATTCCAACATTGAGATTGAAACCACAATTTGTTTCTGGTGTATCTTCACAGATGTAATACAGTTTATTATCGCATCCCCAGTCGTTCCATGTAAACACACCATCAGTATTCCATAGGTTTATACAGTTTTCTCTTCCTCCCGCATTGTCTGGTTGTGGATGGCTCCATTTTGAAAAGGTAATCGGTTTACCTGTACTCATCCAGAAAAAGTTTCCTTCTTCACGAAAAACGAATACTAATAGAATAGTGGCGCGCTCTACCGGCGAATGTTCTGTTCCCTGGACCGAGATCACGAAACAAATATCATTCGTTTAACCGTACTGTGCTGTCACTATTGGCTAAAATTTGAATTAACCTTGCAATGTTTTCGTTTGTTTGTTTGTTTTTCGTTTGTGCGACGAAGGTAGACTGATGTAAACAAATTTGTACTTTTGAACAAGCTGTTAAAAACAATGCCGGATACAACAAATATGGACCAGGAGACTGCAAAATCACTCTTCATTGAAGGAGGTACTTTTATCTTTTTAAATGTACCAGAAGGAACAGAATTCGGCATCGACATGAAGTCCTGGAATACCGGCGAACGTTTTCGCGGTGTTAAGATGATTCCTCCCGGTTTGCACTATATATTCTATAGTAATGTTGATAAATTGGGAGACACCGCGCCTCGGATTGGTTTCTTTCACTACTTTCACAAAGGAGAAGTCTTGGTTAAAAAATGGGACAAGGAAACAGAGGATATTAGTCTTGATCAAGTGTCTGAGCATGAAGTAGCAGGTCTTACAAATTCATTATTTGCATTGGATAAGTTCCTAGGACCATATCCTTATGATATATTGGAGAAGTGGGAATCTTTAACATCACACCTTACAGGTATTGTGATATTTTCAGTTTATTTTGTGGTTTGAATCTAATTTTTTTTTCATTTCAGTTGAATTGACCAAAGTCTTAATACCAGAATCAGGCAAAGTAAGATCTGCTCTGGAATTAATCTCCAAAGAAATAGACAAAAGTATAGGGAATGTTGGAGATGGGCCATCAACCAGCAAACATTGTAAAAGAGGCAGGATAAACTCGCAAGAGGACAAAGAAGATGATTTACTTCCTGATTTAATACCTGTGAGTGGTACTGAGCTAAGAGTGACCAAACTGCCTGAAAGGGGATATCCAGAGGGTGCTACTGCTGCCGAAATTACTCAACATCATCTTGATTCTAGTTATGTTTTGGAAGTCATGGTAAAAAGTTATAAAAAGTACGTTTTTGAATTGCTATCATTTGTTATTTACTAATATTTATTTTTGTTATTGCAGTCAAAATGATTTCATTGGAGAGTTGCAATTCTGTTACGTTTGTTTCCTTGTCGGGCACAGTTTGGAGGCATTCGAGCACTGGAAGAAACTCATCGGTCTACTATGTTCATGTGAGACGGGCATCAAGAAATTCCGCGGTGTTTACGACGCTTTTATCACTGTTCTCGAGGTGCAAATACAGGAAATTCCCGAGGAGTTTCTTGCTGACATTGTGTCGAACAATAACTATGTGTATGCAAAGCTTAGAAATTTCTTTAGAGCGGTGATTGAAAGTGATGTGGACGGGCGACTGAAATCAAAAGCTGAAAGATTCAAAAAGAAGTTATCAGAGTTGTACACATGGGATTTCAGTCATTTGATGTCTGAAGATGAGGATGATGCACCTGTTGTTGTTGAACTGGACGAGGTAAATATGGTCTAGTTCCTATAAAATATAAAAAGAATTTGAAACCTTGGCGTTTTCTTTGTATATAAATTATATATAGTTACATATGCAAATAACTATTCTAATGCAATTATTTAAAATACGGTTGCCGATGTGGCGGCGGTGGAAGTGGTGCTGCCGGAGCTGGTGGTGGGTAGTACCCTCCCTGCGGGTTGGGCGCCATTGGTGGGTGCGGATACGACCCGGAAAAGCCTGGGTATACACCCATTGGCGGTGCTGCCATGTGTGGAGGTGGTGGCCCTGGCGGCGGGGCTACCATATGTCCAGGAGGCGCTACTGGTGGTCCAGCATACGGTGGGTAAGTTGGCATGCTCGGATAGGCATAGGGAACAATGGGCTCGGGAATTACTGAAGTTATAGTTTTTATCGGGGCGGGCGATTCCGCCTCTTTGTCCTGTCCGTTACTTGTCGGCTTCGCTAGTGGTGCATTCGCGGTGGGACGCGGTCCGCTTGGTGGACTATCGGGAGTTGATGCGTTTGATGATGATTGATACAAATCCAACACCTATTATCAAATCAAGGTTATTATATTTTTATTACTGTTATTGGGAATCTTACCTGGTGACAAATATCTTCCAACAGATCCATTGTGACATCCTCCACAAACATGTCCCACCATCTCAGATGTTTTGTGGTCCTCCCAATCCAGTCTATTACTTCAAATTGGCTTAGTTTACCTGCAAGGTACATCAATGCCACAGCAATGATCTCTGGTTCCCACTGAAGGGTTAAAGTGGTGCACAGACTATCATTGACAAAGGTCCATGCCATTTGTACCATTTTTTGCAGTTTCTGTTTGTCACCTTTCAAACATTTTGCATATTTCAAGAGATAACTGTAGGGATGTTCCACTTGCAAGTCAAATTTGATTGTCTGTAATAATATTCTCTCTAATGTCATCACTTCCTCCTTAGGGTCATCACCAAATGTTGTAAACTTCTGTTCTGATAGTAAACCCTTGGCAGCATTGATAATATCTCTGCACTTTTTGGGTGTTTCCTCTACCTTTCCAGCAAGGAAGAGGCAACAGCAGGCAGTCACATAGCGAGGAAACTGTCTGAATGAGTGGAACATGTAGAATCTATGAAAGTATACCACTCCAGTGGCCATTGTGTTGTAGCCCAGATCCATCTTTGTACCGGTTTCAATTATAAATCTAGCACCTTGAATTAAATTCATGTTTGATTTATGTATGAAAAATTGAATACTTTTGGTTGTAGGAATTTAAGATGTAAAGTACCTTCTTTCCTGTAACGCATCTCGGTCTCATAGAGAATGCCATCCGCCTTTGAAGGGGTGTTCTTGAGTTCTTTCTTATCATAATACCAACAGGGCATTTTGTTATTTCTCGGATTTCTATGATTAAGTTGCGGATGTTTATACAAACCGATGTTCTTGTTATATACAGGTTAGAATCACCATGTAAACTGACAGGGCCAAACATATATGTACTTACGTACTAATTGTTTATCTGGTCGTCCGGAAACAATTGTTATAATAGTTAAAATACAATGTAATGTTTATCTGTTTTTTGATAAAGCAAGGCATACGCAGTTCATTTTATATTTAATTATTTACCATTTTTAAAATGAAGTTGTTATCCATGTACTTTTAAATTACGAATATTATAAATAAATATTTTACTCTAAAAGTAAAATATAATATAAATATATAATTAGTAATATTTCATTTGTATAATGAATATATAAGGTGTATTAACGTGCAAATTTACCTGAAAATGTAAAAATTTTAATAATATTCATTCCATACCTGGATTTTAGGGCACTTCATGACGGTTTATGGGATGAAAACGGTAAACCTGTTGTAAAAGGTCTGGTACACTAAATCATAACTTTAAAAAGGAACAAATAGCTCTACTCGGACCTGATTCATTAAAAACTTTTAAATGCTCCGTTTCTCCGGATATACGTGGAGTTTCCCAAGAAATTTTGAGAAAATTAAGAATTTGACAAGTTTTTATTTTTTTAACGAGCATTAAAGATTTATTTATGTAGTTTTCAAGGTAGATAAAGTATGCATGTGGTAAAGGATGTCTTTAACTATCAAATGCTCTCTTTCTCAGTGTTTCTCAGTTATAGAAATCTGACAACAATTGCGATTTTAACGCGTTTTATAATTAATTATAGTCATTTATTCGATTTATTTACTTTACAGGTGTGCGCTGTTTATGCAAAATATTCCTTTTCGGGGTCCTCGCAAAATTGGTCAACTCACCCATAAAAGTAAAAGGAACTAATCCTCGAATAGCATCATGATGACGCAAGTAAATCGAGGGCGGCAGCGTAACACTGCCTACAATAACATATTTGACCATTTCCAACTGTTCACTGCTGACTGGAGTCAGCAATAGCATGGAATTACTCAGTTTACAAATACCCCGAACAATTCCCCAACCAACACAAGTTTGACTATCTTCAGTACACAATGCGACAATGTTAGCATTGGCAGCTGATGGATCACAGACTTTGCCATTGTAAAGCACAGTTACTACATCCAAAGACGTTCTAGAATCAAATTAATAAAATAAATATGATAATACGATGTAAAAATTCACAATAACTTACTGATAAACCCGAATATCCTTCTCAGTCAAGTATTTACACTGTGGTGGGAGGATTCCACTCATATACGCCAAGATGCACATCTCGCGCACTTGACGCGGTTCCAACTCCCATCCAACATTCGCCTGATTCCCATTCGCGACTGAATCCAGCTTTACCAACTTGTATTCTTTCAATGTCATTTTCTCATTACTGCTACTCGCCAGTAACTGCTGTCGCACCGCATCTGGTGTAAGATCCACATTGAAGTTTCTATTTTCATTTTGGCTCTCAATCTGAACGACGACGTCGGCCTTCAAAAGGCCCAAAATCATCGATGTAAGAAACAGTCCAATGCCTTTCGTAAAACCCATATAATTCACAACAACTGGTACAGATTGTGGTAAATGTGCAATGAGTTTCCGCACGGCGTCAAGGTAACTCTCATAATCGGCGGAGACATTTATACTCGGTACAAAAATCGTCTTTTCAGCCTCTTGTAAATGTGTGTAATTAGGTCCCAAGAGTGCAGAAGTTACTTTAATTATACTAATCGCCCCGGGAACAGTGAATTCCGGCTGACCCGGATCTAAATCCATGACATACACTTCTTTCCTGACATTTAATAACTTATTTACTAAATATCTAAGCAGTGTTGATTTCCCTACGCCTTTTCCTCCACAGAGCATAAGCCTAGTGTGATTTTCTTCATTTAAATTCTCAATATTCATCAGATTGAACAACTGTGCCCATTCTTCATTCACCTGCAGAATGTTCCAGTCCTGGCTAGTGACATTTTTAAAATGGCACCGTAAACTATTAAGTAATTTAGGATAGAGGTGTTGTGCAAGATTCGACTCTAAAAATTCGGTTGCTTTGTCAATGACATTTTCGCAGTGGAGCACTACAGTTGTTGGCTTCAATTTGAACAGTGCCACATCTCTGCATACTCCTGCATCAATACCAAGCTTTATTAAACACTTCTTCATCACTTTTCTGCTGTGGTCATCTGTTTTCTCTCTGATGTTTAAGTTTTCAATTGTTAATAAAGCTGAACCCTTTGGTGAGTAAACCATGGATGGTGGGCTCATTTTATCCAGCTGTTTGCCAAAAATATCTGCTGCTCCATACAACACAGTGACTCTCATTACACCATGTATAAAGAGTTTTGAATTTCCATACAACAGGATAACAGCTCCAGTTGGTACTTGATATAGTTGATATTCTCCAACTTTTTGCTTCACAAAGATGGGTTCTGAATCCTCTTCAGATTCTGTTTCTACTAAGGAACCAAGGTCTGATGACCCAAGTTCAGAAATGACATCTTCATAATCACTATCAAAAAAAAATTAAACAATAAAAATAAGATATATACAGTAAGACTATTAAATTATACTTACTCTATTTCTGGCATTGGTACTTTATAGTCAGGATAATGTATTGAACAGTCATTTTCTTCCAAGTTTGGAATGAAATTGTCAATAGAAGGTTCTTGTTGTAAAGTTTTTGTACTACTCTGTTGAAGCATCTCATACAGTGGACTCTTAACAGTTTTCTTTGCAAAATAAGTACCTACATCTCCATTCTCACAGACTGTATGTAATACTTTTAATCCTTGATGAGCTTTAGGTTTCTTCTTTTTAAATTTTCCATTTTGCAATAATATGTTCTTTTGCTTTTTAATCTTTACTGTTCCTGTTTTTAAGCTACCACTTTTCATTGCGTCCAATTGTTATTTATTTATTTTGAGTAAACTTTCTAAATTTTTTTGTTATTCTTCGGTCATCTGTATCGCATGTGTGATTGAAATTCACATGGGCATTGTTGTAGGTTAATGTTTGTTTTCTTGCTATTTGAATTGCCTATCCCAAAATATAAACGAAACACTAAATACAACTAAAAAACGTTTATAAATAAAACACTATTTACACATACATGTATTCATAATTATTTTCGTTGCAATAAATCTTATTTAGCTTTTTGTAGTAGTACTTTGAATTTGCCGCTTTGGGAAAGCATCCAGTGCACGTTCGCATTCGTGCTTTTCCGACGATTTACTGTGTTTCTTGTCACCGAATGTCATCGTCGAATGAATCATCTTTCGCCCGCAAGGATCCCGCATCGAGCCGCGAGCGCCGAACGTAAATAAAAATTCGGGCGCATCGTTAACAAGCAAGTGCATTTAGTTCGTACGCAGTGGCAAGCAGCTACGAACAACCATGGCTCTCAAAAACCAAGTCGGACTAAGTAAGTCGCTTCGCTTTTATGCCACACACTAGTCAGCTCAGAGAAACCACCTACTTTATAACAATCACCATATGACGCTGATAAAACTAGAATAAATCACCTAAACACGTTATCTTCCGTATTGACATCAAATCATGACGATTCCTTTAAGATATCATTATTAATTAACAGGCAAAATCAGCAAATTCCCATTGTTATTGATTAGTTTAGCCTACATTCCAGAATAGTGGTGGGGCGGTGACGTCATGACCGTCGATATTACAGCAGCTGGTGTCACACAAGTTGCCTATCACACCGAATTCTGCTACAATTTGAATTTCTTATTTTGGCGATTATTACTTTCAGAGATTATGAATGAGGTGATTAAGCAGAAGGGCGTGAAAAAGAATGGTCCAACGCCGGGGTCAGCCGCCGCACCGCACGTCGAATGGCGTGTTCTGGTTGTGGACCAACTCGCCATGCGAATGGTTTCCGCCTGTTGCAAAATGCATGATATTTCTGCCGAGGGCATTACTTGTGAGTGAATCATGTAAAAAATTTAAATCCTCAATTTATACTAATAATTTTATAGTGGTTGAGGACATAAACAAAAAACGAGAACCTTTGAGTACTATGGAAGGTGTCTACTTGATTACACCAAGCGAGAAATCCGTGCGTGCTTTGATGTACGACTTTGAAGGTGCTAGGCCTATGTACAAAGCCGCTCACGTCTATTTTACGGAAGGTAATAACTGTTAAAAAGCCTAGTTATCTGTTTTTATTTAAAGAATTTCTTTTCTGTTTATTCTTTGAACGAGTTGCGTAATCGTGCATTGTGAATTTTCATTGTACAGCGTGCCCAGACAATTTGTTCAAAGAGTTATCGAAAAAGCGAGTGGCGAAATTCATTCGATCGCTGGTCGAAATCAACATCGCGTTCATTCCGGTCGAACAACAGGTATTTTTTTTTTTACATTAACGTGTTCTTTATTGGTTTCTTTACCTCTCTACTCTTGTCGTTTATTAACATCAACCAAAAACCGTCTTAACAAGTTTTGCATTCAACCGTCTCCGATCGTTTCGTGTTACAATTGTATCCGTTATTAACCGCACTCACTAATCACCCGATGCCAAACTCACAACACTCTTTCGATGGACTGATTTCAACGCTCCTTTCGCGTATCTGCGTGCGCCTCTGATATTGTGTCAAGAGTGTCGTATGTTAAGTAATAGCTGGTAACTTACTTGTTGATTCCTTGTTAATGCATACACACAGTGTGTCCCGAGGAGCTCTTCAATGAGCTGTGCAAGTCGTGCGCCGCTAGGAAAATTAAGACACTCAAGGAAGTCAATATCGCCTTCCTTCCCTACGAGTCACAGGTTTGCCAACTTGAAAACCACCCGTAGTAATCACTCCCTCTTGCCATTACTGCTTTTTACCCTCATTGAGCATGATATGTCTTTGATTGTTATACTTTTGCGATCTAACCCATGCCGCATGTCACCGCCATTGTGATCCTAACCTAATCTGTGTTCTACTGACATGCATTTGAGAGTGTTTATTTATGTCGTTGTTGATTTTCTAAGGTATTCTCATTGGATTCGCCCGACACGTTTCAATGCAGTTACTCGCCGATGTTTGCTGATGCGCGTAATGCAAACATGGAACGCATGGCTGAACAAATCGCAACATTATGCGCAACGCTCGGCGAATATCCATCTGTGAGATACAGAGTGTAAGACATTTCTGCATACATCTTAATATTTGTATAATTACTTGTTAATTCATAGTGATTTTGAACGCAACGTCGAGTTGGCTCAGTTGATTCAACAAAAACTGGACGCGTACAAAGCAGACGAGCCTACTATGGGTGAAGGCCCGGAAAAGGCGCGCTCTCAGTTAATCATCTTGGATCGTGGGTTTGATTGCATTTCTCCGCTTCTGCACGAGTTGACATTCCAAGCAATGGCCTATGATCTTTTACCCATCGAAAACGATGTCTACAAGTAATTACAACTCAGCTAATCGAAAAACTTACTTATTAACTATGTTAATGTTTGAATTTATCAGATACGATGGTCAACAAGGAATGAAAGAAGTTCTCTTGGATGAAAACGACGAATTGTGGGTGGATCTACGTCATCAGCACATTGCCGTAGTATCGCAGAGCGTCACAAAGAATTTGAAGAAATTCACTGATTCAAAACGCATGCCTGCAGGCGACAAATCCTCAATGAAGGATCTTTCACAAATGATCAAAAAGATGCCGCAGTATCAGAAGGAGCTATCAAAGTACGCAACACATCTGCATCTCGCTGAAGATTGCATGAAGGCATACCAAGCATACGTTGACAAACTATGCAAAGTCGAACAAGACCTTGCGATGGGTACAGATGCTGACGGCGAGAAGATCAAAGATCACACTAAATTTATTGTAAACGTGCTGCTTGATCCAAAGATTACCAACGAGTTTGACAAGATGCGCATTATTGCGCTGTATGCGTTGACTAAGAACGGCATCACAGAGGAAAATCTCTCCAAATGGGTATCGCATGCACAGATCAAAGATAAACAAACCATTGCTAACTTGCAGTATTTGGGTGTTAATGTTGTCACTGATGTAAGTTTATTGCCATTGGTAGTATAGTGTTGATGTAACTGAATTTATTGTTAATAGGGTGGTAGTCGCAAGAAGCCGTATTCGGTTCCGCGTAAGGAGCGCATCACTGAACAAACGTATCAGATGTCTCGTTGGACACCTGTCATCAAGGACCTTATGGAGGATGCAATCGAAGATAAACTTGACCAGCGACACTTCCCGTTCCTAGCTGGACGAGCTCAGAGTTCTGGTTATCATGCGCCTACAAGGTATGCAAACACATTTACTGCTATTTTATTATTTACTTCAATTTACATTATTCTTTTATCTATAGCGCGCGTTACGGTCACTGGCACAAAGACAAAGGCCAACAGACTGTGAAAAACGTACCACGTCTGTTGGTATTCATCGTCGGCGGCATGAGCTACTCCGAAATGCGCGCCGCGTACGAAGTAACGAACGCTGTCAAAAACTGGGAGGTAATCATCGGCTCGTCGCACATCCTCACGCCTGAGGGCTTCCTCAGCGATTTGCGCTCGCTGAAGACCGACCCTTAGAAGAAGAAGGTGCAATTCGACTTTTAAAATACACCACCAGAAACGACAACAACAACCAAATAATATACTACACTGTAAGCAAGCACAGGCAGCGCATGCGAACTCTTTTCATCGATTCCATTCCAGCATTATCCAACACTTAGCTACTAACCATTGGTAATAAGGTAACCAAACTGCTTACGGTACGCTCTTTCGATCATCTCTTTATGTATGTGTATGTCTGGCACTTCTCACAATCGACGCTTCTCTATCCACATCGACGCGTAAAAAGCAGAAATCAAATAAGAGTCTTACGTACCTGAGATGCAATGTTAAGACGCAGAGCGATAAATTGATTTCCTTGCTTTATATTACTTCACTTTAAACAGTCTAAGTAAACACTTTGCTTTCGCTTTAATAATTAAAACTGCCGAAGATCGGAGAAACGAAGGGAAGCGTAAGACAGATGTCACATTGCACCTTAAACCATGATACGTTCAAAATTACCAGCGGAGACAAGTCGTAGAACAAACTAAATACAAAAATAATCAGATAGTTAATCAGTGTAGCAGCGAATGAGAGAAAAAAGGCAAAGAACTAAACACCTATAAAGATAAACCAGAAAACTACACACGTCGTAAATGTAAAATTTGTGATTAATACTAACATTACTAACAATTACTATTATTAACAAATTGAGAAACTTTATTATATAGCTCTTGAACGTACTATTTGACATATAGCGATATCACGTATTCACGTAGGGCGAGTATCTAAACATGTAGCATTTTCTCATCTTTACATACCAAAAAGATTTACGTGTGTGAAATGTGAATATTAAACGCGGCATAAGCAATATAATATATCAAACTTTTGAAAGTGCTGCAATCAGTGTGCTAACGCATTCAAGTTTAACTTAGCGAAGAAATACAACGTTTAGCATGATAGTTTATTGATCGATTCAAGTACGTGGAGACATTTGAGATGGGGGGATACATAAATGAAACTAAATATAGCATTGTTATATAAAATTATAAATACTTGTAATATTATAATATTTTAGTGCAGCGATGAATTGTCGTATCTATTTTCGGAGTTTTTCATTTATTACTGTTATTATTGATGTTGTTAATTTATTTATTTCTTACATTACATTGTAGCGATATGCGATGATAGTATTATGTTAGTTGCGATAAGGTTACACAGTGACTATTACGATTAAATTTATTGCAGGATTATTATGAAATAATTACAAATCTCTAGGAATAATGATACATATATAATGCATAGTTATTGTATATTAGTAGTCTATACATGCGTAACATATTCATGAGTGTCCACGGATCGATCAAACATTTTAGATGAATGTTTGATGGCTCTGGTGGCACGTGGTAAATAGTTCTATGCATTGCATTCATTGAAGATAAAAATATTACATAATTCTAATATGAGAAAGCTGTCAGTCAATTTCGAGATGTTGATGAATAAAATAAAATATTATCAAAATGTACGCTTGCATCCCTTGTGGGGATCGAACCCACGACCTTTGGATTAGAAGTCCAACGCGCTATCCGCTGCGCCAAAGGGACATATCCTGCGTACGTGGCAGGGTCCCATGGCGCAAAACTTAAGAACTTGATTTAAATTTAAACTTTACACTTTGTTTTTATTTTATGTAAGTGCATTGTATTACCTGGAGTGTTACAAATTATGTTACAGGAGGTTTTTTCTTTTGTTGGACTGTATTTGACTGGAATTTACGGCGTTGTGCAGGAAATTGGGGAAAAAGAATGTGATAAATGTCAAATTCGGTTGTATTCGACGGTTTTGTAAGTGATTCTTCAGTTGTTGGTTGTGCAAAGGTTGAGTTTGGAAATTCATTGGAAGTTTCAGTTGTATTATCTACAATTTATGAAATTAATTTACTTTAAACTTGTAAAATTGACAGAAATGACTACGGATTGCAATAGAAATGTATAATTATATTATCATAGGTGTTATTATTTTATGGGACTGTTTAAGGCAATAACAATAATAACAGAACTAGTTTATTGTGCTGTTGTCGTGACAAGTTCCAAAGTGAAGAAATTTTGAACAATTGAACTTGAAAAAACAAGATTAAAGCTGATTCAACGCGGTGTTAATCATAGTAACAAAGACAGAATCGAGATGGTGCTAAGATGCAGTTATTTGCATTAAATGCTAATTTGTGTCTTTGCATGAAGTTGTTTGTTGTTTACAATCAAGCACACACAAAGTTACAAGGAAAAAAAGTGATTTCTGTTTTTATCAATAACTTATAACTGCGATTCCGCGCGCGTCGTGCATTATTTCAACTTCAAACTTTAAAATTTTAACATTACCTGTGTTTCTTGAGCTATCTGTAGTAGTTGTCCGATTGGTACCCAATCCTTTTTTCTTATGTTTAACCACTGATGATTTGGTTGTTTTTCTTTTGGATTTTGCTTGCGCGCTTTCTGCCTCTTCGTAATATCCCGCATCGTCGTCATCGCCTTGGGGTCGCATAAAGGCACCTCTTGGAATATAGAAATCACATTCCAGTTCTTCTTCGGCATTATAACGACAGGATTTATTACGGTGCGGGTCTAAATTAGTGAACATATAATATTGACTGACGAGATATCGTCCAACGGGAGATGTTTCTTCCATTTGATATTTGTATATCGCAAAGCAACTGAATGCTGAAGTGTTTATAAGAACCAAAACAATCATAATGATTGATATGCATAATGGCTTCTTCGGTCTATGGGAAATTTTACCCTCTGATGGTTGATCCATAATTTTTATTTAGTTAAACACTAAATTCAACGTTATAAAATTTATACCAAATCATGATTTGAATAAAATTAATTACTTAATTGACAAAACTGTCATTTGAAATTTACGTTTCTAGTAAATAGAAAAAATGTTTTACTAGAACAATCAGGTGATTGTAATTTTTGCTAATATTTCAAGCAATGTTTGCTAAGTGCCAATGACTCATGTTGATTTACTCACTTAATATTTGTAAAACAGCCTTGGATTGCAAATATTCGTCAAAATTTGCATATCAACGGAAATAACAATTAATACAAATAATATTTCGTATAAATATTTACACACCATCCCAAAATATCAATGTTTATCAATAATATTTTTAAAACATGCATTGAATACAAACAATCGAGACAATTAATTAAATTAACATATTTATTCTTTATGAAAAAGAGCAAAGTTGAAACCAGGTCATTACTTTGCTGTTTAACCGAATTTTTTGCTTATTTTTTTCACATTCCGTTCATTATAGTGTCATTATGTTATTAACACCATGACCAAAAGTTTAAATCACCAGCGAATGCAATATTTTGATGGCTCAAAACTCGAGCGGTCGAAAACTGCGTCAAGGCCGCCATCCGATTGCACCATTCGACCGTCCATCGCCGCAAACGCCAAACCGAAGCAGTAAAAATCGAAAATTTAATTTGTACGGCAAAGAGATAATAATAAAAATGTCCGTTCAATGCCTTGACCGAGTGGCCATCATGTCACGTACGACGTACATCGCAGACTCGTAGCAAACAATAATTATTAATAAAAAGACTAAAAAACCTGTAAAAATTTATAAAAACATCAATGAACCTGTTTTTTTTTTCAATTTAATTCTTTTATTTAATCAGTAGAATGATTGTGCAAGTTATCTGCTAGTTAATACAAGTCTATTTCTGTATTATTGATAAATTTCTGATCCGTCTCTGTTGTTCATACCGCCACATATTGTTATAAAAACGCGCGCGCGCTTCCATTGAGCGTTTCATTCGATTTTTAACCGTTTCGGCTTCGCTTTCGTTAAACAATTACCACCTGTGAAATTACCAACGGTGAAAATGTTCACGGATAACATCGACGTTGAATTCTGCCTGAATCTCTTCATCCAGCTCTTCGTTCGGGTGGGTTAAATAATTTATTATTATCATTAAAATATACAAACCCGTTAAAACTATGTTTAATAATAATTCATAATTTTTTTCTCTATCTGCAGATATTAATATAATACAATATGCATTGAGGTAGTTTACCTTAAGTTTAATTAGGCTAGTGATTAAAAGTTCTCCCTGCAAATGCAGGAGGACGATCTCAACGGACTGGTGGCGTTCCTAGAAGAACATCAAAGTGTTTTGGAGCAATCTCCATGGCGAAGAAACACATTTCGCTCGTCTTGCCGGACAGGGAAATCTGCTCAGGCATTCCGATAGCAGACGATCGCATTCGCAAAGGCGTTGAGCGCACGAACCCGATCCACCCAAGTCCAAATGGTCAACGGCTACAAAAAAGCGAAACAAATAATTTATCAACACGCTTATTGGTTAACGATTATTAAATTATAGGATTATATGGTACTGTGTACCTGTTTTATTTATGTTGATTGCTCTTGGGTTAAACCCAAAGTGATAATTAACAATGTTAGATAAAATATATCTATTTATAATGTATTTATTTATAGATTTTTCAACATTAACTTAAAAACAAACGCAATAAAAGTGTATAAGTAAATAAGTCATTTTTAGTGTTGTTTTTATTGGAGTATTGGTGGCGATAACAATGACAATGGAAGTGGTTTATTGTCTTGTTGTCACAATATGTTGCAAAGTGATAATGTAGGCTATGCAGATGAAGTAATTATCATGCGAATTTCTTTTTAAACAATCACATTATTTCTTTATAAATATTTTATGTGAAGATGCAGCAAGAATTGAATTTTGAAGAGTTAAACTTGAAAATGTAAGATTAAGTTTGAATCTACGCGAAATTAATCCTACAAAGTTACAAAGTTAAACGCGAGATGGCGCTACGATGCAGTTATTTGTATTACATATATTTTTGTTGGTGTCAGTGAGCGCACACGAAGTTAAAAGAACTGTGCCGGTGTGTATTCACGCGGTGCGCGTTTCGCATGGATGTTTGTTTTATCAGCGAGTTTTTTTTTTTCAGTACCAGTAAAATTGTATTGAGTTGAACTCCAAACTGTGAGTATACATATTGCATTATATTCACGGAAGAGTATTCTTCGCGCCAAACATTAAATATTTATTGTTTTATTATTTATTAATAAATTATTTCTATGCGAAACAAGAACAAATTACAAGTTACAATCACTGCTGTCAAATTGTTTTAATTATCCCTGCGGTTATGTCCATTACCAACGAAATCAACCATAATCTATATAATATTGCAATAATATTTAATAAATAATGAAAATGTCATGAATAAACAGTTGCCCTGTCCACAATAATTGATTTCGTGGTATTTCCCTGATAGTAAAATCATTCTTACTTATTACTATCAAACAATAACCCCAATACAATTTATTACCAATCAGAAATATTATGTCTATAATTATGTCGATAGTCAATATAATAACTTGTCAGACGGTGACACCTGACAAGAACATGTTTGCACATTGATGAAACATGGATAAAACTAGCACACGGATAAAATCACACTCGCCCAGGACCAGTGCTGAAGTAATTACGTAGTTAACTCAACCACGAACGCACGCAATAATAAACATTTGCTCTTATCATTACGATTGTGCTTGCATTTGGCACCGTGATAGTTGTTATCGGTGCGGTTGAATGTTTGGAGAAACTTTGACCCAGCGAAATAATTACATTCAATAATTGTGTTTTCCCGTTTGCCGCGAGTTGCAACCGAATTATCGGACGGCAATCAAAATAATTCGAAAACCGAATGGAAACATTGGATTACACTCGCGCAATAAATTGTTTTTATTCCCACACACTACACTACATGGGAAGTGGATACGATACGTGCCCGGCGTTCGGATAAAATTATTAGCGGTTCAAAATTTTTGTTTGGGAACAAGAAAAAGAAAAATAAAATGTGGATTTGTATGCATCAGCATGGAGGGCGTGTAGGATACCTATGACAATGTGACAGATTCGTGTGACCAGCCGAATTTAAATCCTGTTGAAGTTTTTGCTTGCTTTTTATTCCCACTTTAACATAAAAAATCGATTTTGTAATACTCTCACGCATTGTTTATTATCTTGTTGCTCAAAAGTTTTCTGACACGCCTCAAACAGAGAATAATTTTACTTTTAGCGTGCAATTTTTATAGTCGAAATGCTTTTTATTCGTGCAAATGACAGTTGAATAATTAAAACTGTGCTTCAGTTACTTTTGTATTATTTTTATAATAAACATTTAAAAAGAATTTTTAAAGTTAAGTTTTGACTGTTTATCAGAGATGTACACTTCCGACAGGTTTTTAATTACAAAAACTATGAACAATACCAAAATCTAATCAAGGTCGTAGTTAAAAATCAAAAGTTATGAACTATCGGGCATAATTTTGCATATTCATGTAGGTATTAACCTTTTAGATACAAATATATTACCACGACAACATTATATAAATTCATAATTAATGTATGCAACCAAACAAACATATTTTCTACAATAATTCTCCTAACCTTCCACTTCTACTATTTCTACACATCAAAATTAATCCAAGTATGATATATAAAATATAAAATGAAGAAATTATGAATTAAATAGTGAAAGTAAACGTGCAGCATGACATGTGATGATTTCAGTTGAAAAGCAAGGTATTAGGTACGTACCGCAAAGAGATTTCCCTCTGTAGCACTTCCAGTAGTAAGGCACGACGTACTCCAAGTACATGGGGCAGTTGGCGACGTCGTAGCAAATGTCGTGCATCTTGCAACACCTGTAAACACGCGAGCGCAAACGATGTTAGTACCTACTAACACTCACATTCACTTTTTATACGCCATGCAATCTTCTATTCATTACTTGTGCATTTATGCAATGACGTGAAAGTATGACAAAATGCTCGTACATGATATTGAACCAGCAAAGAAGTGACATTGATGTCATTGTCACTTACAATAACATTTATTTCTGTACCGGAAGTGAAGAAGATATTCATTTCACATGATATATAATATTTTGTTACATTTTGTGTTCACGGAGAAATAAAAGTATAGCTATTCAAATTGCTTACTTATCGATGCCATCGACTGGTCGACCTGACCCTAGGAAACCGCAGTAACAGCCGTAGCCCTTGTAGATAAGAGGATCGCATCCAGTGGCGCAACTAACCATATTGTAAAGTTGCACCACGCCGCGTTTCGTTCTTTTTTGCCTTTCTTTAGACCTTGTAATAGACAAAAACCTTTGAAAAATTATTTTAAACTCAATGAATTAATTAATTTTACTTATTACTTATTTTCTTAAAATAATATTCATAATTTTTCTTCTATACGAACTTTTTGCTGCTTTCCTCTGTCGGTAGTTCAAGCGGTCGTTGACGGAGACGTAAATGTACTCTTCCCTCGGGAGACAAACTCGCACCGCGACCACCAGCACTGTTCCCACCAAAAGGGTCGTTTGCGTACGCAAGCCGCAGCGTCGCATTGTCGGACACAGAACGCCGCCGCATCCTCCAGGCATCACCCGACCCGTGGGTGCTATTCGCACCCGTCCCGTCACTCCTTCGAGTGTTACTCTCGTCGTTAAGGTTTACACTTTTTGCACTTTGCACGCGCACACTGTTCGATTTTGCCAAGTGGCTGTTCGCATGGTCTTTATCGTAAAGTCCATCAATATTGTTGCGGGGCTCATAGTGTTTCTTTAGGCTTAGATCTGTTGCGGACATCTTGGGCCATGGATGCGGACGTGTGTGAATGTCATGCGAGTCTATAAATAGAAAATTGGAAACAATAAAGAAACAAATTATTATAATAAATGTTTGGGTAGTGTTGAATGGGTTTGAATTTGTTGCAAGTTGTAAGTCTCTAGAGAACTAGTGAGTTAACGGACATATTGATATAAGGATAACGAGCAGAGAGCAGACATTACGTTAATGCAGAGCTGGACTATTCAAAATTTACATATTTACATAATTTCGTGTTTTCCTTTCATGCAGTACATTCGTGCTGCATGTTTACACATAGTTACAAAAGTCTTGAATGTCATTTTAATTTTCTATTTGTACTTGTGCTCCGCGTTTAGGGACAATTAAATTTAAACACTGCAAATGCAAAATTCTGCATTTATTTTGGTTTTGGTCAACTCTTCATACAATTGCTCACAAAATAAATTTTTTAACGTGAAAATTGTACATTTTTTGCTGTTTAATAAAAAAATTGAAGTATGTGTTAATATTTGCAAATGTTGACACATCCTCATTGACGAGTATGTGTTGACACAATTCTTTGATTCATTGAGCCTTCTGTTCGTTACACTCGTATCGTAAAACTCGAACGATGTGCAAATGTTGACACTTGTTGAACTTTTCACTCGCACTTCATGCTCTTCATTGAATTATTGTTAACATTTTAAATATTATTCACTTTATTCATACGCCGATTATTAAATATTTAATTTTCTAATTTTTATATAAAACATTTTTTACGAAAAACTAGCAAAACTGTTTTTGTTTACTTAGTAAAACGTCCGTGCAGCTATAATTTATCACTTAAACGGAACTAACAACAGAATAAGAGCAAACTTAAACAGCGGACACCAGTGTGAAACTTTTAATAATCGTGTAATCGCATAACATAACTCAGTTTTATCGTTATCAGTTTGCAGTGCATTGAAAAATGTACAATTTGTAAACATACCAAACATTGTAAAGCGAATTAATTTTAAAATAATATACTTCTGGAATGGAATTTACAAAGGTCTGTATAATCAAAATATTATTTTGAGCGAAGACATTTCGTGGTTGTTCTATCCTAATGTAACTAATGTATTTTATTTAATGGGACATGAAGAAAGAAAAATGTAATTTACTTTACATTTTCTGGGGGAATATTCTTACATTACATGCGTGAATAAACTTTATGATGCGTAACAAACAAAAATACGAGAGTATGTATATTTTATACATTTTTTTACGAAATTTTAACTGAATTAATGAAAGAAAAGAAAAATAACGGAAATCAATACGGAAATAAACAAAAGAAATTATATTCTCATCATTCTTGTATCAAACACGTCACTTACCTAACATAATTTGCATTTATTCAGCCAATAAATAAAAATGATATTAAAAAGGAAATGCGAGGTAATAATAGAAAAGTAATACACAAAAGAAGATAATGAAGATGTAAAAAGATAAAATCGTTTTTATTCAGTTTGTTTTTCGCGATTCGATTTCATATCGTGTGTTTTTAACGAATTGCTAATTTCTGCATTGTTCTTTGTTCCAACTGACACCGAAGAACCGTGCGTAAGGTGCTTTGTTAATGTTAATGCATGACATTACATGATTTTATTGCCAATTATAACGCTTTATTCGCGTTCACCTGTTTATTGCTTCTCGGCAAAAAAAATTTCAGTTTCACTTTCATGAAATACACACAAAACAAAATGATAAAAAAAATTGCAATTTGCAAATTCCAATTGTGGTGACTATTAACTTTTAGTCACTTTGTCTGTATTGCTTCCTGGTCTTCTTCGTTTCTCTTCGCAGTGGAGAGGATGTCATGAAGATGGTCATGCACTTGGTCGTGAAAGATGGTCGTGCTGATTTTTCGCTCGAATAAGGAAACGTGAGTATATTTAGACAACACAGACCATACACAGATGTGGTTAACAAGCGACAAAGTCATGTAACCAGTTGTAATATACAAGAAAATAAAGTTTTTTTGCGTTTAAAAATTGACGTATTTTAGAAAAGTTTCACTTACGAGATGAAATTTGCGATCGACGCACGAATTACTTAAAAAATAAAAGTGAAATGCGCATCACTTTTGATTTCGTTTTTGTCATTAAATTTTAGAAATTACGCATCCGGACCAACTTTTGTTTCGTGGAAGTTTTCGCGTTTCTTTCCGGTTGAAATTAAAACATTTCTCTGCAGATAACTCAAGATAATCAAACATCAAGGAGATATTAACATACACCTACGTTCGCACATTAGTTACTTTTGTTTACTTGGTGGATTTGTTTTTGTTTTGAAGACGTATTCGTATCATCTGTTATTTTAACGATTGCAAAGTGTAAATAGTGAGAAATTCTGCTTGGCGTAATTACGAAAAGTGTACAGAACAGTGTGAGAAGTAATTATTTTCATTAAACAAAAAAGAATTGCACGGAAAATTAACAAAAGTATTAAATAGTCATATGTATTCAAATCTAACATCTTCTTGTTGTGTTACTTGCATGTTTGAGTCGTGTCAAGGCTTCATTATCATAATTCGCGCATTTTGCGTTTTTCCACCTCAATTTACAAGTGGATTTACTTTATTGCGAACCAACGTCTTGTATCTTGACGGTTTGATTTAATTGAATGTCAATATTATTCAATGGCATCTTGTACGTGCATCGCTTACACCTGGATCTGTGTTTTCTTTTAAACTCACCGCAAATCATTTATAAAGTGATTTTTTCTTGACATGCAATGAATATTTAAATTAAATAAATACTTTACTTACGTTTTATTACTATAAAAGCAATTTATTTATATTAAAAGTTTGAAATTTGACTATTAATAATTTAATGCAGTTTAATAACTTTAATATCGCCAATTGTGAGTGAAATTACATGAAATAACGCAATCGTGATTACCTACAGTCCTTATATTCTTCTGTTAGTGCATCATTAACAGTTTATTGCCTGCTGCAGAAGCAGAAAAATACCTACGCATGCTTCCTGATAAATTAATGTAATTACCATTACCACTATTTTTATCACATTCGCGCGCCGACTCACCTGTGGCATCTTCTGCTCGACTCGGCGCGGCGTAATACGCGTGAGCCCAGTGATTACCTGTTGCTATAATCGCTATTAAACTCATAAATTATTCGCTCTCCCCTTGTGCGCCGCGCGTGGCGTTAAGTTGTGGTGAATTGAAGGTTGCATGCAAGTGCAAGTGCAAGAGATGGGTTATGTTAGATAAGGTTAGGTTATGTTGGGGTGTAGCGTAAATGGCGGATTGGAACTAAAAAGAGAGAAAAGTTGCAAGGTGCACATTAACTCGACATGCAATATATGCGTGCATTCACTCATTTAGCGTGTAAAATGCACCGCATTCCATTTTAATCCGTTGTAAATGCAATTTAACTGATTGCGAGTGCAATTGCAAATTGCACGATGCACCTACTTGTTTTCACTGCTTTTCTAACTTATCATACATCATAAAACTCATTAACGAGTTGCTATAATAACAGTGTTTTATTTCAAGTAATTTTAAATAAATTATTATTGAAATATAATAAATTGGTATGTATAATATGAATTAGTCTTTTTGTAATAAAAGTGAGAATTGAGTGAAAGAATGCAATACTTTTACCAAAATTTCTTTTTGATTGATCAATTTAACTCTTTTTAGTCAAATTTTTGTTTAAGCAATTATTACTGGATTACTTTGCAAATTATTCTCTCCTACTTAAAGTAATAGGTTTCAATTATAAACATTTAGCAAATAGTTGACCTAAATAAATTGGTTGGTGTTTTATAACCACGTAAACTAGAATGAAAATTGAGGAAAACTGAAAATGATTGCTGTGACACCGAGCTTTGCAAATTGGTTTTTTGATTGGGAAAGTAGTTATTTATTTATTTCAATTTGGCGTGCATGCTGGAAAGACAGATAGCGGGCGGAATTAGTAAAGTTGCAAAAAACGCGACGCCCCCGGGTGGGATCGAACCACCGACCTTTCGGTTAACAGCCGAACGCGCTGCCGATTGCGCCACGGAGGCCGATATTTACGGTTTTTAGCTAGTTGTCGTCAACAGTTTTATAGAAAATTATGAATAAATAGAAAACAAGTGTTAGAAATACTGTAAGAATATAAAAATGGAACAATCTATTTGTCTTCAGTGTAGAATATTCAAGTTGCTTTGATATGCGGACTTTTTCGCAATACTACAGCAGAATTTGGATTTTGACTTAACTAGTGAGTAATAGAAGTAGCTAGAAATCTATTTCCGTCAATGTTTTTTACTAGTCTACATCTATATATACTTTTGTATCAAAACAAAACATTTGCCGCCCCCGGGTGGGATCGAACCACCAACCTTTCGGTTAACAGCCGAACGCGCTGCCGATTGCGCCACGGAGGCCGATATTTATCGTTTTAAACTAATTTTCGTCGAATATCTCCTAGAAAAATTAAAATAAATGAAAAACATAAGAACAGAAGTAAAAAATGTGTTAGAAATAATGGCAAAAATATCAAAAATAGTAATCATGTCAAGGTTTCTCAAATGAAAAACCTATTTACTGTGAATTGTGGATACTGAATATTGCAATATTGCAATTATTGAGTTTAGGCACACAAACCGACGACAAATATCGCTGTACATAGCTAATAAAGGTAAAGTAAATTCTACTTAAATAACATTTTTCAATTTTTCTCCCAATGTCATCATCAATATGTTTTCCTGTTTCACCTAGACAAAACTGTAAAACATTGCCGCCCCCGGGTGGGATCGAACCACCGACCTTTCGGTTAACAGCCGAACGCGCTGCCGATTGCGCCACGGAGGCTACTGATTACGCTTATCTAAAATATTTTGCCAATACACAGTGATGATAACTTAACTTTTAAACAATTCAAAAACATAAATTTTTAAATATTTTCCAGATATAACTGTACCAGTGACTCAGTAACACACAAATAATTAACTGTACCTCACAGCAGTTGCAAGCATCACGTCAATCACAAACCAAAGATGAGATTTCAAAGATAACATAAACATAGGTATCTATAATAAATGACTGCGGATTCTTGTCGCCGACGCGTCGCCACACCACTCGAGAAATTGATTGAACGCAACGAAGCGCACACCGATCCAATGTGCTCCATTTACTTCACTTATTACTCGATTAATAACCGGCAGACGCTCTGTGAGCACCGCAAGAGAATCATGCATATTACACAAATAATTACGCAAACGAAATTCTACACCATGCGATCATTTATTATCTATTTATTAATTTCCGCGTCGCGTGTCGTCCGCGCAGGTGAGTTACAAATTTACACATAGGTATTACGCATATCGTCGGATGAATGAGTGATTTATATCGGTTTAATAGGAAATTTAATAAACAAACATTGGCCTACATACCCATTAAGTTATCAAGAGGTACACGTAATGAATTCAATGTCCCGTCAAGCGCGCATCAATTTCGGTACATATTTAGTTATTTCATTAGGCGGCGCATCCGCCACATCACATAATGAAGCGATACAATGGTTTTAGACAAGATGATATTGAACAGCGTTTAGAAAATAATATCAAGACGCTTTGGCTTTGTTAATATTAATAAACAACAATAGTTGGGATATAAAATTTACAATTTTTATTTTTTATAGTTAAAATAGTTATGTGATCAATTTTTAATTAACAAAAATATATTTTTTTGTAAAAAATAAGAAAAAACTTATAAAATTTGTAAAATTAATATAAAAAACTAAGAATTATTTAAAAACAAATAAAATTTTCACAGTTTCCGATAGTTTTTAGAATTTTTTAATTTTTCACGTAAAAAGTGAATAAAACGTAAAAATAAACCCTTTCATACTCCCAGAACACAACACTTTTCTTACCTCTACAAAGTAATCAATTTATATAAAACGCATTCATGCGTGCGATAATACCTACACGAGCAAATGAGCATTCGCAACCCAACATTAATAAACAATTAATTAATATCACCTTGTAAAGAAAACGCGATGAAAAGGGATCCACACAGGCGATATCACCCTGAAACCTTTCAAACTACTGCACTAACTAAAGACTTTAACGTCAAAAGGACGCAAAATTGTGTAAAGAAATTGCACGCGGCGTATTCAAATTGCGAGCATGCTTTATCCGCCGTCGCCACTACAGCGATGCACAATTAAATGACATGTTATACGCCTTCGCGGCGAACGTCGAGCGAAAAGGAAAGTGAACTTGTCGGAAACTTCAAGTCTTTGTTGCGCCGAGAAAAGAAGCGACAACCGCGAAGAAACCGCAATCCGCAACATACGAAGAAGACACGAAACAACACTCAACACACACACACAGCTAAACAAGCAATTGAATTAGAATACGAATGAGGTTTTGTGTTAATGTTAATGAGTACTAGCAAGTACAAGTATATAGAATACAAGTAATGTAATGTAATAGAATTTAACGAGCATTGAACAAAAATCATATCTACACTTAATTGTTAAGATGTCAAGGAAAAGAAGGAGATATTACATTTGAATTTAATTTGCGTATAATTTCGGGTTGAATAAAATTTATATTATCAAGTGAACTTATAATTATTACAAAACATATTCAAGTATCAATCAATTCATATTTCTTAATATTTGAATGAGTTGCACTTATTGCAAACAATAAAAACTACGAAATTAATTGTTTGCGTAATATTTGATTAGAGGTCGTTTTTTGCGCGCAGAGAAAGTAGTTGACATTACATGAAAACATAAATAAACAATTATTGCAACAATTATGGGTACAAATGTACAAAAAAGCATTTGACGCGTGAGTGCACATCAATTCACTGTTAGTGCAATAGTTAATTAATTATTAAATGCGTAAGTTTAAAGTACAAAGCATTTTTTTGTTTTTTTAAATGACAATCCTGTTTTTATTTCAATAGAACTTTATTTCATTTTTAATAACATGCGCATGAATGATTACTATAGCCGGTATAAATATTTACGATGATTTTTAACGGAAAATCGATACTTATTAGCGAAATAAAAATAGAAAGTCACAAAAGTGTTCAATGCCACGGCGCGACGAAAGTGCCAATGAAATTCAGACGAAATTTACGCGAAATTAAATTCACATTATGGTGGTACGCAAAAAATAAAAAAATAAAACCACAAAAGAATATTTTTATGCTTTAAATAACTATACCTGAATCTATCAATTAAAATAATTGAAATGCCTGCAAGTCGTAAGTTATTCCTCACTCATTCTGTAATTAGGAATTGCAAAGTGACAAAGTGACACTTAAGTATTTCTTCAATTCGCTTACATTGTGCACCGGCTTGTAGTTTTACGCTGAATGCGTGACGCTAATTAATTAGATGTTAATTACACGAGCGGTGAACGCCATGTAAACGTTTATGTTGGAAGCGCGTCGCTCAAGAGAGCGACTCATAAAAATTAGACTTGCAATTACAACGTGAACTTATTTGCTTACTTCGAATGCAAGAATGGGAGGAATAGTGACAATGGTGGCAGGCTTTGTTTTAGCTTTACGTTTTACGAAGCAATTATTTACTCTCTAAGTTTTATCGTTATGCAAAATGCAAAATGCAAGTGGTTTATTAACCGACCACTGGAGTTCTACTTGGGAAATTGTCTTTGCGGGGAAATTACCTGACGTCTTTTAATGCTACTTTAATAAATTACATGTTTTTATCGTTATTATTAATATTTATGATTAATATATTTATTAAAAATATCAATGGTTAGGTTTTATTAGTTTTTTTTTGTTTGATCATTTTTTACATTTTTCAGACTTTTAAAGTTAATTTTTTGCTATAAAAGTAGCTTATGTTACTTTCCTACGTCCAAAATATCTGTAAACCAAATTTTCTTAAAAATGGTTGAATGGTTTTAGCGTAGCAGCGAAACAAACATACAAAAACGTTACATTTGCAGTTATAATATAAATTAAGACAGATTTTCAGTGCAAATATCGTGTATTAGTTTGATTAATCATTGCACATATTACTAATTACCATACTTATTATGATTTTTGCATTTTTCACTCACCATACACGAGTAATGATTAATTACCAATTGAAAATTGATCAATTATTTATTTCTACCAGCTCTCTTCACATTAATTACTTTTTCCATACAACACACCTCCTCGGGAGAATTGAAAACGTGCATAATTATAACGTACACATAATTACCGACTCTAGACCAGAAACTGTGAACAAATAATGCGCACAGATAGCAAAACAATACCGAATCGGGAAGAATTGACTTTGAAAATAATTGAACGCTCAATTATGATATTTCAAGCTTTGCAAGTGTTGAGTGAAATGTGAAATCTTCATTTGTTTTCGGCGTGGATAAGACGCTAACCTAGACTTACCGAGTTTGAGACAAGAGTGGTCGTCGCTGATGTTCGAGATGAAAAGCAGAGCGCACAACAATAGCTTGAGCGCAGACGCGCCGAGCGTAAAACCGCACATGATCGCAAAAATCTTTTTTAGTTTTAGTTTTATTATAAAACTAGCACAAAACTGAAATTTTAAATAAAATATATTTTAAATTAATAAAATAAACCGATTTTATTAAATATCATCTTTGCAACATCATAATTGTCAAATTTAAAGTTTTTAATTTTAATTTTAATTTATATCGCACTGGTTTATAAAACGACGAATGTTTCATTGATTTCATGCTAAATTTTAGTTTAGAAACAAAGTTTTCAATGTAAATAATTTTTTATTGTTTAATTCACATTTTCACTTTTTTACGGACAGTTTAATATTTAATATTATTTTGTTGTCGTGTTGTTTTGCTGGTAGGCGGCACGCGTTTGTTGAAAAAAATTCAAACCGCTAGTTGACGACGCACTCGACATAATGCAACGACGCGGGTCGCGACGAGTATGACGACTCGCCGAGAGAAAAATTAATAAACTTGCTCACCCAGCCACTCCGACCAAGTTCCATCAAGCGTTCCTTAAAATTCGTTCGGAAATGATCAAAACAATTGTCACTTGTTGATGTGTTTTAATATAAATGTGTTCTGTTGGTTTTAAATGTTCGTATTGCACTGAAACACTGAATCCGTTATTTGTTGATTTTGGTTGCTATGGTTACAAATCTCGTTGCTATGACAATGTGCTGCTCACATCGTAACTTCTGCGCTTCTTCACACTTCGCACGCGTTTGTCCAGCGATCACGGTTTCGCGAATTTCCTTCCATCCTCCAGCGTGCTGCACTCGCACACACGCGAACATTTCCCTTTCGATTTCGAATCACTCGCACTCTCGACGACCGTGGACGTTCGCTTTTTCTTTTTCTTTTGCATCCTCCACTGCAATGCGATGTGGTAGCGTCTTCAATCGAAAGCGTTTGTTTCTCGTGGGAGGCAATCTGAGGGACAGATTGTTTTAAACGCGACTGGATTTCAATTTACTCGGTTGGAATTGTTCGCGTCAAAATCATGAACAATTCGAAATTTTACGTGGCAATTTCGAATTGCAGTAAACGCCAGGAAAAAAAACAGGTAAAATAAATTGAAATAAAAGACAAATAACAAATGAAGTAATAAAAAACACATTAGGCTGTCTTGACTAAACATACATTTGTCTTTTAAGTGTGTTTTTAGTGAGTTGAAAACTAAAAAGAAAACAATTATAGCAAATTAAGTCAAAGCTATAATTACTCGATTGAATACTGGAAAATAACCGCTAATAGAACAAAAGTAACAAAAGGTAAGCAAAATAAAATAAAATTAATTGTTTTAAAGTTAAAATATATAAATTTACATTAATTTATTGCATGTGCATTTTATTTCAATTAATTAAATTATTAATTAAAAAATTTAGCAAGTTAAGAATAAGGTCAGATTAAAAATTAAATGCAGTTTTAATAAGGACACTGCAAATTAATTTTTCTAACAAAAAATTAAGACTATTGTTCTTATTTGCTAATTAAATTCTATTTTTGAATTTCATGCCAGAATATCTTTTGCGCAACAACATAAAATATGCGCAATGTATGAGAAATGCATCCCGAGGCAACAAAAGCTATTAAACATAAAATTTAAACATAAAATAGCACAAAAACACCGAGTTGCAAATTTCTAAACGATTGAATTAAATTGCATGCACAAAAATAAAAGATTTATCATTAAAATGACGAAATTCAAGTAATCCAAACCAGCGTGTCAACTATATCGTTGAATTATGTAATTATTCCATATGATCTTTTGTATTTTAAATCATAATGTCATACTTACTTATAAATTCTTTTATTTTTTAGCAAAACCTGCTTTTGTTCGCAAATTTCGCTTTCATTTTTGTGCCCGATGTTATAATACTTTATATTTGACATTTACAATTACGCAATACTTTTATTCGGTCATCTTTAAAAAATCCAATAAATAACATGTGGTCTTCAATACTTAAAATTGGTTAAAAATTAATTTAAATGTCAAAAGTTAGAGTTTGTAATTTTAATTATGCAGCTGTTATATTTAGATACACTGCGTTGTTTATGTGATGATGCAATAAAAGAAAATGAAAATTTTATCACCGCTCGCAATCAGCGCTCATGCAAAACGAGTTAAACGGGCCTTATGCAAAAAATGTGCGACGCGTACGAGAGCACGTCGTGTGTGAGATGTAATTTATGGTGCATTGCAGCGGTTATTCAATCTGATCAACGTATATTTAATGAAATGAAAAATTTGCGGTCTGCAACTCAACATACGGCGGCGCATGTGTTTTTGAAATGTTGGTTACATAACTTGCATCTGCGTGTCAATAGTGCCAATTTTTCACCATATTCAAATGTCAAAATAATAATGATGTAATCCATCATTAAATGAATGCTTATGTGTTATTATACTGGAGTCAATTCGATTTGGAACTTTGAATGTGATTATTATAAGTTTTTTGATTGTAAAATTCAATCTCCTTCAACGCCCCCGCATGATGTGACATCCTGATGGACCGATGTTATTCTACACGCTCTCTAAAATAGTGGATTCTATTTTGAGGCTGATGATTGAAGGGCCACTATAGTCCCTGGGTGAGTTCTCTATGCACTCCATAGTTTCGTCGGATCCTTGAAGTCTTTGCGCGACGCTTGCTTCAGACGGCAGACAGGACTAAACCATTTAACGACAAGATTCAATTTGCATTGCATTTGCATGCGCACATTGCGCATTTGCGAAGATAATCATGCTTTGTAATGCAAAATTTACACCCCGGTTTTGATTTTCGCTTTCGTTCAATTGTTTTGCTTGATTAATCTTATCTTACTCGTATTTATAAAAAATTAAATGGATATAAATTAATTTAACCAAATACATTTTAATAATCGAGTATGGAAAATTGCCCGAATGAATCGCTTCATTTGAAAATAATTACTTTTTGCCCGCTGCTTCATTACGCCCGTTGGCAGCCATGCAGAAAAACTATCAATATCGGAATATTGCGCAATTTCCTCCGTTATCAGAGTGCTGTGTTTATTTTTTATATTCCTACATATTCAACAGGTGCAGATTGGCATATTTTCGGGGAAATTATTATTTATCCAAATGAACAATGCTTTTAAATTTACAAATATCTATATATATAAAATTTGCGTGTCACAGTGTTTGTTTCCATACTCCTCCGAAACGGCTTTACCGATTTTTACCAAATTTTATATGCGTATTCAGTAGGTCTGAGAATCGGCTAACATCTATTTTTCATACCCCTAAGTGATAAGGGTTGTTCACCCTTAACTTTTTTTTAAATTTTTGGACAAATTCTTTTGTTTTTATTTTTTATAATGTGGAATTAAAAATACATACAATCCTAAATTTTTAGTTTTTTATCACCAACCCCTATTTCTTTATAGCCATTTTAGTAATTTAATCATTTTTCATCCCGCTCAAAGAAAATTTTTATATGCGTATTCAGTAGGTCTGAGAATCGGTAACTTCATATCTCTAAGAGATAAGGGTTGTTCACCCTTAACTTTTTTAAATTTTTGGACAAATTCTTTTGTTTTTATTTTTTATAATGTGGAATTAAAAATACATACAACCCTAAATTTTTAGTTTTTTATCACCAACCCCTATTTCTTTATAGCCATTTTAGTAATTTAATCATTTTTCATCCCGCTCAAAGAAAATTTTTATATGCGTATTCAGTAGGTCTGAGAATCGGTAACTTCATATCTCTAAGTGATAAGGGTGGTTCACCCTTAATTTTTTAAATTTTGGTCGAAATTTTTGTTTTATTTTTTAATGTGGCATTAAAATATACATACAACCCTAAATTTTTGGTTTCTTATCACCAACCCCTATTTTTTATAATAAGTAAGTTACTTTTTGTCTACACTAAAATTTATCTAGGAACTAGAAATAATTTATATGGCAAAACAACGTTTGCCCGGTTAACTAGTTTTAATATAAATTGATACTTATTTACATTTCACTTAGGTAGGTACATTGTATAAAATCAATACAATATTACTACATAAACAATCAATTTTGAAGCATTTTTTAAGACCTATAAACACGATTTTTATTTCTATCTATAAAAATAAAATTGTAACAAATGTTTTTGGGAGAATAAAATGGAACAATACAACTCTACGCATGTAAAAGTAAGTAATTAATAATTGAGTCATTACCAAATGGAATGTAGGATGTGTAATTCATTAAATAATATGTAGTATTGTTTAACGACAGCCGAAAATACGCAAAACGACACTTAAGTTGAAAGAAACACGAATTAATGTCACTCAACAAAAAAATAAATAGAAACATAAAAATAATTTAGACTGAAATTGAATTATTTATTTAATTTATACATAATTACATTTTCATATACACCGGATTGCAACTGAATATATTCCACCTCATTAACGGCTTATTATTATCACTAGGGCATCTGATATTTGTCTATTTTTAAGAAAATAAAAATAGTTATTATAACTTAGTTTACAGTTTGACTATTTCTCTAAAAATACCACAAAACTGCAGAGAACACTATTTTAATGAGAAAAATAATGCCCGCAATGAAATAATTTACATCAAATGTTGAAAACTTCCATAATCTAATGCATAAAAAGTAATTAATTATTATTTGCAATATCTTCCACACACTGAGTAAAATTCTTGTCGCTTAGAAAACTAATATGATCCCCTTGGAAGATTTTAATCTCCAAGTTCTTACCAACAATCTCTCGTAATCCGAAATCTTCAGGCAGTCCAGACAAGACACTAATCGCAGCCTTGCATAAAATAATTTTAGATTTATAACTTCTAGGTGTGAACTGGTGCGCCAGTTCTGATTTCACTCGGTAGTACATATTGGTCAACAAATTATGTAGAAATTCATTACTGTGGTTTGTTTTGTCTGGTGAGGCATCAATCGCAAGTTGGCATTTTTCTTTGAAGGTACCCGCATTAACCAGAGAATTTTTTAAGTTTTCTAACGCACTGAGTGGTAGGAGTGAAGACATTATGTTGAGAATTAGAGCAGTCTGGACAGTCTCATCAGATCCTGATCCTATCAGAGTGGAAAGAACTGATTTATTTGCTGATGGTGATCCATCTAGTATCAGCAGGGTACCGGTATACCCATCACGTTCTAAAAGAGTGACTGTTTCAAGAGCGACAGTCACACCCATTGAATGAGCACCGATTAAAAATGGTTTACGTGGGTCTAACTCTTTTTTCAGAATCTGAAAATCAAAAAATTTTAATATTTTTATATCATTTCTTAAAATTTAAAAGAATTACCTCGTATTTTTGTTGTACTAATCCTTCCATAGTATCTTTCGCATTATCACAAGGAAATTGTAAACATTTCACACTAATCTTCAGGTTCTCCGCAAGAGGCTCAAAAACAGTTGCCATACCTTCAATGCCAGGCATCAGGAACAAACATACTGGTGAGTTTGTATTCTTCATGTTTACTAGAGGAATGTTACATTTGTTTTCTTCTGGTACGAATCTTAATAAATGCTGAACCATCACACTTGGACTTGAGGTTTCACCTTCTTTGGGAGCTTCTTCTCCTCCGCTTGTTAACTCTGCTAATCTGGCAAGGTTCATATTCCTTAACTCTTGTGGAGATAAAAATACATCAAAGTCTCTTTCAAGAGTTTGTTTAATTTCCACCGCCATCATGGAATCCATACCCAATTCAGGGAATGATGAATTTGGACTAACTGTTTTGATGTCGTTAATTTGTAGGAGTTTAGCGACTACACTAATAACATCATCATCATCTCCACCTCTTATTTTTTCTGCTACAACCATACTGCTTACAATAGCATCTTCAGATGAGAGTAGAACATCTAAAACTTCTAAACAATTTGCTATTCTTTGATGCATGGTACCACCAATGACAATTTCTACGTTTTGTTCTTTGTAGTCAGCTACAATACCAACATCACCAATAACACCCCATTGAATGGCTTTTCCTGGTAATCCAGCATTTTTACGCTTTTCGCAAACCCTCTCCATCACAGAGTTAGAATATCCGTAGTTGGTTTGACCCGCGTTACCTCTACCGCAGGATACTGAAGAAAACACAACAAAGTGTTCTAATCTCGGACACAAAGCACGTGATAACTCATCCAAGTAAATTGTACTCTGGGCTTTAGGGTTGTAAGATTCTAAGAATGTTTCTTCTGTTTGATTCTCAAACACGGCATCTCTGAGGACTACAGCAAGATTGAAAATACCTACGACATCACCCATTGTCTGTGCTTCTTCTAACAATGCCAAACAACCTTCTCGTGTGGTGCTATCTTCAGTTGAGATTTTCACTTCACAACCATAGGATTTCCAAAGTTTAATGCGTAGTTGTTGGTAACCTGAAGTAATACCACGTCGTGAAACCAATACAAGGTTTTTAGCTCCTCTCAGAACCAGAAGATCAGCTAATTCTAAACCAAATCCGCCCAAGCCTCCTAAAAGGATATAGGTCCCTAGTGGATTACAATATAATTTAGGCCGAGCATCACATTTCAGTAACTTTGGAATAACTCTCTTCTCTGCTTCTTCTTCCCGAATGGTAACCACAGCTTTTCCTATGTGTTTCCCTGTTATCATGTATCTAAACGCTGCCTCCAGTTGATTCTTACTGAAAGCCACATGTGGAATTGGTTTTACGAAACCTTTGGCAATACCATCAGTTAATATACTTCCTAGGGAAGTCATAATATTCCCTGAGTTACTCATCAAAAAGTCTAACATAACACCATGATATTCAGCTTCTTTTTCTGCTAAATCCAGACGTAGAGGACTATCTTGCGAACAATCAAATTTACCAATCTCAACAAATCTCCCACCCTCAGATAAACACTTAACAGATGCCTGGAGTTTTTCATCTGCTAACGAATTCAGAATTATTGATACTCCTTTACCATGAGTTTGTCTCAGAATCATTTCATAGAAAGAAGTATCTCTGGAGTTCCCAATGTGTTCTGCTGGTATAGACGGATAGTTTTTGATAATATATTCCTTTTTCTCAGCGGTACCAACAGTAAGGAAGATGTTGCACTTGTAATACATAGCTATGTTGATTGCAGATAGACCTATACCACCAGTTGCTGAATGGATCAGAATACTATCACCTTCACGAATTTGAGCACGCTATAAATAATATTATATTATTTTTTAATTATATTAGTTAATAGAACAACTTACTGTTATAAGACCATAAATATTTGTAAGATAAACACATGGTACGGTTGCCGCTTCAGCTATTGTCCAATGATCAGGTATCTCCCACATATAATGTTTACCTACCCGAGCAACATTAGCAAACATTCCAGAGGAACTCAAAGCCATAACTCGTCTTCCACTAAAATAACCAAAGATTTATTATAAAACATTAATTTTAAGTTTTTTCTGTAAAACTTACTCTTCTGAACGACCTGCACTCTCAAAACCTATACTACTATCCTGAGCCATTCTTTCTGTGATAACACTATCCACGATTAACTTCCCACTAGCAAACATAACGTCTTTGAAGTTTACAGCACAAGTATAAATGTGTATGATGTCGCCATCCCGTTTATCATTAAACCTTTCTGGAATAGAGAGTTTACCTTGAATCCAAGTCAAAGAACTCAAATCTCCTCTGATGGTGTTATTCGCATAAGTATGCCGAGTCGGAACGGTAATATTTTCATTAATTAACAGATGTCTGTAAGATCCCCAGACTCCATTCTTCAAAACATTGATTGCTAGGTTTTTCTGGAGTTGTCTTTTGTAGAAATCTGTGTTTACATTAAACTTTGGAGCTCTAGCATCATCAATCAAAACGTTCATTACTCTTTCCCCACCTGATTCTCTTAATAAACAATTTGTCAGACCCATGAGACCATTATTAGGTTCATTTTCTGAATATATCAATATATTCTCTTTGTTTATACGTGCTTCTTTCAAGGGTTGTACCCAATTAAAACCATCAGCAGCCACATGAATTGGTTTAGGTATAGCTACTTGAGTGGTAGGTCTCATCATAATAACCCTTTCTGTAGGTGTAGTATATTCACAGATAATAGTAAGACCATTGATGAAACTTTGCGTTTTAAGATCTTCCCGAGATATTAAATATCCAGTTTCTTTAAGTGAAGATAACAAAGTTTTACGCAGATTTGTATTTTGGGATAGGTTGTAACCAATTGCAATGAAATTATTGCTTTCTGACGCTGGCATCTTATTAACCGTTGGTATATGTGATAATTCTTGATCTTTAGTGGAGTATATTACAAGTTCCGGTTGGATTAAGGGTTGATCATTGAGGGCTTTCTGAATATACGGAAGCATAGGTTCCATTGAATCAGGAATAGCGTTGAATTCTTCCATTGCTTTGATTTTTGTTCCGTAGCTGTTTTCGAGAGCAACTTGGACCATAACTCTGGCTGCACTTTCCAATTCAAGGTAGGCAACATAAGGTACGAACTTATTAGCTTCCAAAACTGGGTTAGGATTTTTACGTTTTGCGATACTAGCTGCTTGAAGACCCCGAACTTCTACATACCCACAACTTTAAAAAATCATAATTAATAATTAAGAAGACTTTGGAGGAAGAATTTGGTTATCTTACCGTAGAATATCCAATTCTTTATAATGGTATGCTGGTAATACACAATTCTCAATATCGTCCGACATGTAGATAATATCCAAGTGTTTTTCTTGGTGTACAATCATCTGACGAATTTTTGTTGGAACATATAAACTTCTAGTATCTTCTCCAAGAATCTTCATTTGTAGAATATTATCCAGGAAGGGACACCATTCAGACCACTTGATTTGTGCAACAGTAGCGCTCACATCACAGCTTTGCATTTCTTTGAATTGACCCCTGATTATTAAAAATGTTTCAAAACACTGTGTTATCATAAGTATCAAATACTTACTGATAGTAATATCCTCTCAAACCAAGTTCTTTATAAATATCTCGTTTGTTCATAATATTCTCTTGATTTGGTACCGGTAATGGTGGTAGGTGTAACCATTCAGCATCAAAGTTCTTGATCTCTTGTATACGTCCAGTAACTACAATACTATCATTTTCTGTAACTTGAAATTCTCCACTTGCTGTCATTACCTCCACAGTCAACAATAAATTTTGACCTGGTGTGACTGTACAAGCTCTAAGGAATGACACATTTTCGAATTTAATTGGTAACACTCTGCTGTTACAGAAACACTTCCATGCTAAACGTAGATAACCAGTAGCAGGGAACAATACTCTACCATCAATGTTGTGTCCTTGGAGACTTAACCAATCAGTACTGGACCATTGGTTAACAACGTTACATTTTACTTCTAAAGTATCATACTCAACCACATACTGCCATGATTTTTTATGGAACCATTTCACCAAGGGACTTATCATTGGTGTTTGGGCTTTGACTGGCCATTGAATTGAGTATAATTTGTTAACATCCATACTGTATGCTTGTAGATGCAATCGTCCAACTGCAGGTAGGAATCCTCTATCTGGTGAGACATCACAGAGGCTGATGATATTTTTGGAGCAAGCAGCATTACCTCCAATGATTAAAATATTTTCTTTTTTAATTTCTGGTGTGTGTGATGTAAACATGACTTCCGAAAAGTATTGGGATAGATTTTCATGTACTGTAGCTTTCTCTTGAAGTTGCCATTTACGTGGTGGTTGGGACATGTTGCTAATATCCTGAATTTCAGCACTGATCATATTAGTATTGATTTCTGGGTGTTTTTTTCGAAGGAGTTTTACTATACGATGTGCAATCAAAATGGTTTGTTCTAAAGACAGCACACCATCAGCGTATGCAGCTGATAATTCTCCAATACCACTACCGAAATACGTGGATACTTCTATTCCGATTGTTTTTAATAATTCAACAATACCAGTTTGTACTACGATGGTAACAATCACACTTTCAATCTTTCCCTCTTCGGAAGTTTTGTTATTCAATACCAAATCATTTTGAATTTTGTTCTTTGAGAATATTTGATTGACCTGCACAAGGTGTTCTTGGAAGCGTTTAAATTTCATTAGTGATTGTCCAAGTCCAGATACACCACTTGTGTGGAAGAAACACTTCAGTGGTAAAGTGTTATCACGGTATTCCAGTATTTCCATTGGTGACACACCTTCTGTATCTGCTAGGCAGTACCCTCTACAATCCAACATGGCGGTTTTACGTCCAAATGCTGAATTTATCAAAGCAATGAAATCCGGATCGAACGGGTGTGATTTTAGCTCATCATAAAGTGTCATAATGGATTCATCTGTCCTACCACTTAAACACACCAGTCTAGTTAGTGTTTCATCACCTACAGAAGTATGTGCACGTTTAAATCGAGGTTTCGTGAGCAACACATGTGCATTAGCTCCACCAAACCCAAAATTACTAGCTGCTGTGTAGGGCTTATCTGCAGGTAGGTCCATAACATCAGTAACCACTTGTAGTTTACCATTGAACAAACCAGAATTCGCCGGGTTTGGATTTTGAAAGTTAATATTAGGTGGGATCTTATTACTGTCAAGAATCCAACAACATTTGATGATGGAACTCAGCCCGGACGCACCTTCAGAATGTCCTAGGTTAGATTTTACTGCTCCGATTAACAAGGGATCTTTGCGGTCTTTACAGAAGAAGTTTTCAATAGCAGTCAGTTCTACCGGATCACCTACTTTGGTTCCGGTACCATGGGCCTCCATATACCCTAGATTATTGAGAGGCATTTTAATTTGTGAATAGAACTCCTCAAAGAGCATCATTTGCACATCAGTCGACGGGAAAGTAATTCCATGTTCTTTGTAACCATCACAATTGGTCAAGACATGAACCACTTCTGCATATTGACGTCTAGCATCACCAGCACGCTGTAGTACCAAAGCAGTGACACTGTCAGCACGCACATAACCGTTGGCATTACGATCAAAACTTTTTGAACTACCATCTCGAGAAAGAACTCCCAATCTATTGAATTGGGTAGTGGTACCAGGAGCTAGAATCAAACTATGCCCATAAACAATGGCACAGTCTGCTTTCCCATTTTTGAGATCATCTACAGCGTGTTGTAAGCAATACATTGAACTACTGCATGCGGAATCTACTAAACGTTTTTGACCATCAATTTCGAGGAAATGACATAATTTATCCGCCAGACCTAGTTTGGTCATTCTAAAAACATAGGAATACCAGTTATATTTAGAAAAATTTTATTATATACATTATGTATTTAATGGCTTACGCAACAAGTTGATTTCTGTCGGGGAAATTATGACTCATACAGAATGTTTCGGTTTCATCAAAACAGTTTCCCATATAGACGCTTGTTTTCGAAGATTTTATTTCTTCCAGAGATATACCAGCATCCCAGAGTGCTTCACACCCTACCTCAAGGCTCATTCGACTGATGGGATCCATAATATCCGCTTCGTTTTCATGTGTAGCTAAAATTACAACTCAATAAACGTTTTGTGGTAAAACTTTAATTTTTTCGTACAAAAGAAGCCATTATCAAATTTATCAATGGTAGGAATAGCTCCGTAACGTTCAGGAGCATCGGGAACTCGTTGGAAACGTTTGCAATTGCTGATCATGTCAATTTTGTTGTACATTTGGTGTCGGGCTTCCGCAAGATTATCGGAATTGGAAACTTTCCCCGACATTCCTGTAAAATTCAAATTTTTTGATTAATTTTGCATGTAAATGTGTAATTTTTATTTACCCGAAATGACGATGGCATCTTCGATGTGTTCTTGCGCCTCCATTGCGTAGTTTTTGGAACAGACGCGCACCGAACGAATGCCATCTATTTATATAAAGTAGCATGCAAATTCTTCATGCAAATTTGGGTGCATTGGATGGCTGATCGCGTGTGTGGTTCAAGGACTACGGTCTGGTCATAGAGGAAGCCCTAGTTTGACGCAAGTTAAATGCAATAACGGAATAAAACTTTGCGATTGCGTGTTTTACTTGAATATGTAACACTAGTAAATAGCCAAAATAACAAACAACGAAACCGAATATAACTGGATTTTTGGCGGAAGATCAAAACCAAAAAATTTTCCATTCCGTAAATTTATAAGGGAAATTAATATGAAGTTTTTGTCGACCTGTGGAATTAATTTAAGTTAGTTCACTCACTTTTTGCAACTTTATCTACTCGATAAGACACTATATGACACTTGACCTTTTAATTATGCGTTTTTGTGAATTATGACAACACCTAATATACATAGAAATCTTTTATGCATTTTTTTTGCTCGCATATAGGTAACAATAAATTATTTTGTGTTGAATTGGTTCTCAATTTTTTGATCGTTGCAAACGCTTTATTCGTTTGCTGCATATTGTGACGCTTTGCATAAATTCCACAAGAGAAAAAATGCCGCATAACTTTTCAGGAGGCGTCTGTAAATATACCAAGAATAAATTCTTAACAATTTCCTGCGTCACACTGAAAATACGCAGTTGACAGCGTCCAAGAGCCCAAGAGTAGCTAAGGTTTGATTTTGCATGGCCAGCGATGCGTAGTTTATAGTCAATAGATTCAATAGATCAATAGAGTTATTTATTGAATGATATTATGGATAAAAGTATTTTGTTGACTTCTTATAAAGCACAAAATTAAAATATTTTAACTAAAAATAGAACTAAAACACATTTCCGATGTTTTATGTGAATGTTTTTGGAAAATATTGAATTTTTTTTAAAGATATGCATTATTTTAAGTGTTTTACATGTAAACAAAAATGTTGTTAGTAAAATTTGCACGTTCTCAAAATAACCTAGCTGTGATTAATTAAATATTAACAAATTTAGCAAAAATATTTTACATGGAAGTTTCTTTTGTTTCCAGAATAATTCGCCTTCAATACCACACAAATTATTTTCTGCGCAAACGACCCGAAACTTTAACAAAACAATAAATTAACCTCTGTTAATATATTCACCGCTGCTAAACGCTTTTAGGTTTATGCAGGGCTGCGATAATAAAGACGAGCGCAATATAACAAGACCAATAATTTAATTTTCCCCGCTTTCATGCAGCGTTTTTTTTTTTTTCAGTAAGAACGTGCGAATAACCTAAACACACAAAAATAACTTAATTAATACCTCGAAAGATTACTTATATTAATAATAAAATTACTTGTTTCTTCAAGAAACGAAAATATTAGAATATTATCATTATTTATTAATGTTCAACTTATGTTATTACAAGTGATACACGAAAAATAATATTGGATTAACAAAGTTATTAATAAAAACATCCAAAGATGACAATAAAAAGTTTGTTTGATGATAACATAATGATAAAATTAATGAACGTGGGCATTCAATGAACATGAACGAGCGAGCGGATTGGGTTAACCACCAGCGCGCATCGGAGGCGGCGGCGACGGCGACGGTGGCGGTGGCGGCGCGAAGACACCCTCGCATACACGCGCGCCGAATGAAAAGCGACGCGTCCACCGGCCGCATCCTCATTCCGACACGAAAAACGCGTGCCGCAGCACATACACGACGAGAGGCCTCCTATCACCGCCCCGCAAAACTATCGCTATCGCTAAAAATACGCCGCACGCGACAAAATCCATAAATCAATCCTTTGACGGTTCAACAAGTAGTCCATAAACTAGCAACACTCAACAAATCATTCGACTTCTATTGCTTAAAATAAAAAAAAAACTAAATAATTGTGTGGAGGAGAAGTAGTTTTATTGGAAGGAAAATGAAAGGTACACCTGTTGTTGAATTCGGTGGTAATTCGAATGTGGAATTGCTCGGGACGAACGCGGAAGATGTGCGAAGCGGCGGCGGTTGTGGCGGTAAACGCATGAGGAGCGGAAGACCCAACGGGGTTTTTGTTTTCGGCGCGTTGATGATCTTCTTGTTGGTCTTCGCGACGCAGAGTTCCTTTGCTGAAGCCAAACGTAAGTAAAATTTATTTCTTTAAGTGTTTAGTTTAAAAAGTAGAAAAGTTTAAAAGTTTATTTTATTTATCTTGAAACAATATTTTTAAGTTATTAAAAGTTGGAAATAGAAACATTTCTATGTTTGTTTTAATAAATTATTTTTCTTTTAATAAGAAATTCATCCAATTCAATTTAATTTAATTTCACTTTTATTTTTTACAAATTCTTATAATTTTAATCAAAATTAGCTTGGATATTATTTACCTAAATTTGCACATCGCCCACGTTTACAATCACAACACTCCCACATTCTCTATACGGTTTAATTTTAGACAGTTTGAGGTATTACTATAGTAGTATTAATTTCGAGACGTTTCAGTAATTAGAATTGGATATAAAATCTACATATCCGTGAGATTATTTTATATTTTCATATTGAAATTGAATTAATATGTAGCCATGTAAATATTATTTGACTTTGAAATTAATTTGATGGATTTATTCTTTTTTATATTTCAGTTTTGTAAAAATGACGGTTTTGCATTTAGGATTTTGTGGTTTTTGTATAAAAAGAGACAAATATTGTGCACCATTAGGAAAAATACGTTTTTGTTTTTAATTTAAAAATAAAATAAAGCCATGCCTCGTGCATCATAAATTTGAGCGTGCTCTAAACGCATCCCCTTTTATGATCTTCGTCAATCTCGCTGTGGTGTTACTAATAAACGCTTTTGGCAGATTTATTAGCAACTTTATTCTATAAACGCATTTGGGGTATGGGTGATGTGGATGTTTTGGTTTCATAGGTTAATATTTTTTAAAAGAAAAGGAAAATAAAATAAAATGTTAGTAATATTAGAAATTTTTAACTCACACAACTAATTCGTTAGTTTTCTTTTTAATTTTTACATTATTTTAATAAAAATCTCTGATTTTAAACCAAGAGCTTTAAAAAACCACAAACGTAAAACTATTTAATTATTAAAACAAAGGAACAACTCCAGACAAAAGGCAAAGATTGGTTTCTTCCTATTTAAATTTAAACCCCCGGAATTTATCGACAATTCTCTCCAATTCTCTCTATTTTTAACACATTGCAATTCATTTATTGTACTGTTTTGCTTCCTAGATAAATATTGGTCTTTCCTGTGTCTAAATAAGGCAGCAAATCAAATATTCTAAAAATATTTACTTTCCAATCCTTTGAAAACATAGACTCATTAAAAATACAAACGTTTTTTAAGTGTTACGAACATGAAAGTAGTACCCACTCTTTCTATATTCTGTTGTACAGGGATTGTTTGTCAAACAATGACAAACAACATTATCTACGGCTGTGGGTTCCCTCGCCATTAAAACAACAAACGCCCCATTGCGTATGAAACGTATGAAATTTGATAAAAAATAAAAAAGGACAAAATTGTAGGCAATATAATATAAAACGTAACCGTAAACTTACAAAAAAGAAAAACTTAGTTGGGCGTAATGTACATGAATTTTGACATAAATTTGTACCTTCTTATCTTTACGTGAGAATATGAGTGTATTAGGTATATTAATGGCTAAGACAAATGACGTACTTAAAGTCTAAGGAGTTTTTTTTATAAAGTAATTGTTTTTATCTGGAAAAACATTTCTTAGTCCCTTTGAGGTTAAACAATAGAAAGAATTAATATTAAGATAACCCTCTTTTCATTTTTATGTAAAACGCGTTGCCTACAGTTCAAAAAAATATATTTATTTAAAGGTATTTTAATTTAAACTACTAACGTGAACTTGTAATAAACATTTACTTTTCGTTACTTCTTTTGAAACACCAAACTAACACTTTTTCAACTGCAAATGCTTTACATCAACATTCAGTCATTCCGCACTATACGTTTATTAATATTTAATGCGTATTAATGGTAATGCAATTTACTGCATTTGCTCCCGAGACGCAAAATCCTGAACATTTAAAACTCCCCCGTGCTGCAACCGGATGGAAATGCATTTACCGCCCGTTAATTCGATGTTTTCTTGAGCGCACGTTTGATTCCGTCTAGTTCACATTCGACCCGTGAATATTTGAAGAGGCAAGTAAAAACTTTCAACGAACAGCACACGCGAGAAAAGGGCTGGCAGGATGTTATTTATAATGTACATTTGTGATATTAATATCGAGCTATTGTTTACCTAGTTTACCCAGGTGGTATTTGTTTTAACGAGCGTTTATTCCAACTTTAATTACTTTCGTATTATCGAATTGTCGACCCAAAAACAAAGCGATGTGACATTGTTATTATGTTTAAAATAGGCAACCAATTAGACACATTGCATTAAAATAGGTTAATCCTAAGTTGAATTTTGAATATTTATGAATTAAATTTGTTGTTTTGTTGTTATTTTTAACTATTAAAGCTATTTATACTTCCTGGTCGAGATTTAAATCGGATTTTGCTTTCAATTTAAGCGCTACCGTGTTATTAGCATTTGAAAGTGTTTTTATTTTGCATTTCTGTTATTTTTTGTTTTTTCTTTTTGTTTGTAGGGGCATATGGCAAGCCAGATAGACACGAAAAAGGTATAATTGGGCAAACACACATGTTAATCTAATTTTCCAACGGGATTTCGCAGCTTTGCTCGCAATGTCCGCTTTCGACCACAATTTCAATTTTTGTCGTTGCGCCACCGCCGTCTGGCCAAATAACGCATTTATTTCAATATTTAAATTCTTTGAATTGCAAATCCTGTCGCTGAATACATTCGTGTTGGCGTTGTAATTGCAAAACAATGCTCATATGGATTAATTCGCAAATAACGAATTTGAAATTGCAATTTCTACCTTTTCGCCCCGCCACAAAAGGTCAAAATAAAGTGGCTAATGTTCATTTTTTGTAGTTTGGTATGGTTAAGCTAGAAGATGTTTGCATATATAAATTTTACCTACATGAAAATCGCTTTCTCTGCGATTTCTTTTCATGTCAATATGACCATGCGTATACATAGACGCGTGTGTAAAAAATGCAAGGACCACCTGAGATTTGTACGCATAGCGTTGCTTCAATTCTTTGCACGTCAGAGAATATCAGCTCTACGTAGACGTTGGCAAGGGTCGTGAAGGAAGATTCAGATTAATGCACGCATAGGTGGTTCTTTTGTATATTCAACATATTTCTACTTTTTCTGTGGCTTTAACATCCTAATCATTGGGCCATGATGCAATATCTTTTATTCTTTTTATATATTTTTATATTTTTTATGAAATCGTCAAATTTTTTAACATTTTGTGAAGTAAATTGGCTATTTTAACACTAATACACTTTGTTAGGACAAGATTAACAATTAGTTCTTTAAATAACCGCCAAGATTAATAAAAATTAGTAGATTTTGAAAATAATTTTAAATAACACATCAATAATATAAAAATAAATCGCAAAATCTGTTGGTAAGCGCATAACTCAACAAAGCCAAAACCAATTTGGCCAATTCTTTTTTTAAAATGTTTGGAAAAGTCCCATGATGGTTTTTACGGTGAGAAAAATTCAAATAATTGCTGGGAATACCCTAAAGACAGCCCTTTTCTATAGAATAAAAGTTGGCATTGAGATTTAATCATAGTTATAGTTAAATTGTTGAATCCAAGATGGCGTGCTGAAGTGCATTATTAGCAATACTTTATATAATTAATTTCTTAAAAATAAAATTGCGAATCTTATTGATAGAATTGACACATACTATGTCCAGAACAAGGAAAAGAAACGAATTATATTTTTATTAAATACTACCGGGACAAAGTCGCGGGTAAAAGCTAGTTAAAGTATAAAATATTTTCAAAAAAACATTCATAGAAACTCATTTTCCAAAACAACTTTATTTTTTGATGACTCTGTTATTTCTAACCCTAATGATGGCCATTCAAATGTCACCTATCTTAATCATATGTTAATATACAATAATTCCTAAAATAGCAATAATTATCTCCTAATTTCACAGTATAGTTGAAATGACTTAATTTGAGTACACGTGTAGCATTCGTTGTTTCGCGGTTTACGCCCTTCTGATAGCAATATCCAAAAACAGCCGGCCGAATCAGCAATAATTGCCCGCTCGCGATATCCAACAGGTGAGACCGCACGCCCGCCGCAACTTTCATTAATTGTCACGAGCTCGACAGCCGAGAGGTAATTAATTGGTTTGATTATGTATTACCCGTGCGCGCGTCAAACGGGCATAAATTAAAAGAGCCGAAATTAAATGGACACATCCGAGTAATACCGGCAATTCATTAGGTACAAATTGATCATTAATGTATTGTGTTTTAAGTGATAATAATGCCAAAAATAGCGCAATTAGTTTAAAATTTTATTAGGAACAATGTTGGAGATGGTGTACAAGTATTACGCAGTTATGCAACCAAATATATTTCATTTGCTTATTAATTTAAAATTTAAAATTTAAGATTTTGAATTTTTTTTGTACTTTTGTTGTTATCGGCACATTAAGCCTATATTTGACATTAAGATAACCTCAAAATTTTTCTATGGTTATTTTATAACCATAAATTCCCAATAATTTAATCAAAAAATGATATTTCTGCTATTTTTTGCTTAAATTTCATTTTTAGTGAAAGACAAGGTTAAAGTAGCCTTATATGTTATATACTACATATCAATAGTTAGCAACCAACCATACTTCTTACGCTTTGCTATTGTTGAATACACTAAGTTGAAACTTTAAACTTTTATAATTGTCCTTTTGTTTACAAATTTACATTCCATTTTCTTACTATCGTACTGATAGTGAGCAAGAACTAACATTAACATTCTAAATTATGTCTTGTTCCGTAAATCCTCCACCCTAAAACCTACAACGTACATATGTTATAATATAATGTTGTTACAGTTTAATTTATACTGCGATGGATTTTCTGTCGCTAATTGGTTTCCACATTTCGACTCCTATTTAATATGCTCTGTTTCCTGCATGTGCGTCAGACTTGAAAATGCCTATTCTAGCATTAATCCTCAGTATTCATTCCGTGTTCTGTTTGTATGTAGCCTTATTGAATGCAATTTCACGTTCGACTTTATTTAACAGTATTTAACTTTGAAACTTTGTGTGAGTATGACGACTATAAACTATGAGTAGTCTAGTCTACTCATGTAGTGACTATAAGCTTCGCGCGTATTGTTTTGTTTTTCCCGTTTGCATTTATTAAACTTTATGCACACATTGACATTTTGAGTTCCTGTTGTGCACTGCGACAATACAATTCAGATGCAGAGAATTTCAAAAATCATCTATGATATTGAGTCATTGCCATTGGGTCATTGCCAAAACGTAGATATTGCAAAAATTAATCTTTTTTGTGTTTGAGGTTAAGTATTTTCGCACTTGTGTATAAAAGTAATTATTATAGTGTAAAAATTGTCAGTTGACATTGATTTAACCTTAAAATTCAATTTTACACATTCAAAACTTAGATATTCGGTAAAAAAATATCATTTTAGCGTTTGAATGTTCAAAAAAATTATTTTCAGTAGTTATTTTACAATATATTGATATTTTTCGATCAAATTTATATGCATTAGTTGTTGTAGACTCCTATTAATAAATATTTGTTTGTTTTTTTTAAATAATAGAAATGTTTATTAAAATTATGAAAATGTTACTGGTCAAAACTCTACACCGCTTGCTATGCAAATTACCTACGCAAATCAAAATATGGTAATCGTTGAATTACCGGTATTGCAACCGCAGTAACCGTAAACCGTAAGCTGTAAGCTGCAACCGATTTTAATGATGAAACTCCAGCTGCAAAAAGCTGTTATTTTTGCGCTGGACCTTTGCAATGCGGATATCAAAACGCATCTCAAAACCACTTTCCTGCACAATTCAAACCAATGCACGTGGGTGTGCACAACACCCACATTTCATTCAATGATGAGTTGATAACACATTGTAATCATTCTAAATAAAACGGATTGATAACACAATTGGTTTGATTTTGATTTTTTTACATACAAATGCTTAATTTGTTTAATTTTGCGGCGTCAGGGTTAGTTTACGAGTATATCGGCTTGCTTAAACTTCATGAAATAGTGAGCAGCTAATTTGTTAATTCACTTTAGGCCGTTCTGACCGTTGCGTCGTGACTTTTGGGTCGGTCAACTAATAAGATAACTCTAATAAGCCGTAAATCTAGAGATTACCACCGAAATCAATAACGCACCAAAACTTTTTCGGCTTTTCGTTTTTGTTTTTCTCTCTGACGTTTTGTTCCCACACTCACAAATTGCTTCATTTAGGTAGTGTTATAGGATTAACTGATTTGTAAAGTTTAACTTCGGAAACTATTTTATTTATCTCCAAAACTGACAAATCTACCTACTGATTCCTCGAAAAATTCAACGTTGACAAAGTAATCCTCTTATGTCTATTTATATTTTTATTCCTTGCGTTAAACACCTCTTGGCTTTCTTGTTACATTCCTGTGCATTAGACTCATTACGGTTTTATTTACTGCTTTATATTAGCACTCGTAAATCCGTAACACAGCGGAGACAATTGCTCTTTTATTCTCGAGCACAGAAGGACTTTTTATGTGTTTGTAGTCTCCTGCTTTGTTCGTTTGTATGTTTTATGTACACCTAATGTTTTTACCTTTGTAAAGTCTTAGCAGTGCTAATTCGTATATTTGGTGGAGGCGCCTGTAGTACACTTTCCGCTTACTTTTCTAAAACAAAGAAAACACTCACATTGAATATCTGTGTCAATCACTTAAAACCACACAAGTGTTCTAAGAGAAAAGGTAATGGAGCATATAATAACAACTCAAAACATTATAAACACAAAATTTATTAAAAAATTTAAAAAATCGAAGGATACGTTAATAAAACTAAATAAAACTAAATAAATATACAAGTCAATAGTTGACAATTACAATTAAAGATTATTTTGCAAATTTCCTTTGCAAATAAACATTTTAAGACGAAATGAGATAATCTCAATTACCAACATTAATTCGCCGTAATTTTCGCTGCGTAAATCTTTGCCCGAGCTGAATAATTAAAATACGTTTGCACTTGTCTTAATAACTGGGCGTTCGTCCAGAGTATTTATGTCAGCTTAACACTGCTTGAATGCGTTCACAAAAGTCAATTAACTTCCATAATTGCGTTCCTGCAATCCTCTTAAGTTTTGTAATTTTCTTCTTTTTTGCTCTAATTTAAATTTAAATGTAGGTAAATACATAATTTTGTTATGTTTTCAGGTGGATGCGCAAATTTTGGTCACTCTTGCTATGGCGGTATGGGAAAACGTGCCAATGCACTGAATGAGGAATATACATCTCAAGAAGGAAATTCGATCGATGGAGAAGTTGATCCGGCGTTGGTTTTCACTGGTCCGAGAAGTGTATTACGGCCGCTTACTGCACAAAGGCTACTTCAGCAACGTCAAGAGTATATTCATGACAAGATGGCAGCTGATGACAAAATGGCACATGCGATAGATTTCCAGAATCCGGAAAATGTTAAGTTTTCGCCGTACTTGAAACAACTTGTAAGTTACCATTTGTATTTTGGGTTGCATACATTGTAAACCAGAAATATTAAAATTACTTTGTTTATTTTTAATGCAAATATTATTTTGCAGCTGCAGTTCTATCGAAACATGCAACTCCAGAATCAACGTGATGGGCCGATCGAACAGTAGATTTCCATGACGGCACAAACCAGGCTTAATTTTGACTTTCTATACGATTAATTTCTTTAAGATTTAACAAAACTTGAAAATTTGAATACATATATCAATCAATATAATTTATAAAATAAGTTTATTTAAAATTTAACAACCAAACAGGATAAATGAGCACACGTCAAATTAAAATGGCAATACCAAAATTAATAAAACGACTTCAAAATGCAATTAATCATCATATCAGTAATAACTATATTGTCAAAACGTGAAGAAACGTGTAAAACGCGAGGAGGTATATATTTTAAGATAACACACAGGACTGTATTTTAATGCTATGAAAACTGCAAGCCAAATTGATTTTCATATGTTTCAAGGCTGGAAAAACATATGTTAATCATTTAGCAACAGTTTACAGTTGTAACTAATAAAATAATTACGTTTGCTAGATGGTAATTACATACATGTAAAGATTTATTAATAACATAAATAAAATTACAATGTGCAAATATATATTATACAAGTTTAAAGTTATAAAATGTAAGTACTAATAAATTGAGAAGTATGTAGAGGATTTTAGTGCATATGATATAATGTTTTATTTATTTTAGAGTTAATAATTGTGTTAAACCGAAAACAATCCTTTTATTTCAGATTTTATTCCTGAAAATGTGAAGACGTGCGTGTTAAATGAACATCGCAAACTTTATGATGTGTTATGTGTGTTGCCTATCATGTTTATCTGCTTTCTACCAATAAAAGACTTAAAATCAAACTTTATAACAAAACTTCATTATTGCAACAAGCAATGATGATTAATTGAAAACTTTATCACTGTTTGTGCATTTAGCAAATAATTTTAAAGTGATTTATGTAATTTAAATATGACATAACAAATCATTAAATTTACACAAATTATTTTAGCATAAACACTTAATTAATCCATCAATATCCATAAATTACAAAAATATTTTAAAATCAAATGGATTTTATCGCCTTGCTTGAAAATTGAATGAAGCAACTTATAGAAACATGTAAATAAAAACTCCAATGTGTGAAGATATAAATAAACTGTCACGTACGCGTTTGATACTACTTCATGAAACGCTTCGCGCAGATAAGAAGCGCGTAATTTTCTTGCGAGAAGCTGATAACCGAAGCGCGTAAATACACAAATATGTAGTTTTGTGTACATTACAGTACAGTGCCACTTGTGTATCCAACGCAAACTTCATGCACACATTCGTCTGGTGTTCAGATACCCGTCACAACTCTACAAAGTAGCAACTTGTACACTCCACAACAACGTGTATCAACAAATATTCGACATTTTGTCAACACGCAAGAATTAGAAACAATTACAACATAAATTATCAAACAAATATCGCTATTACAACGATGGACATATTTGTTTTCCAGGAATAGTGTGAAAGTGTTATAAATAAAAATACAAAGCAAGTTTAATCCGATTAAGTGTTAACCTCTGGACATAACAAGAAATTGCAGAGGATTACAGCACTTAAAAGTGAATAGATGTACAGAAATGCATTAGTGAGGATATTAGCAGGTATATTTTAAAGCTCTACCACTTCCAGCGTTGTTTTCGGGATTAGGGCACTATACAAAATGGCGCCACATTGCTTTATAACTCCGGGTTCGTGTTTATGTAATTTATTTGTGCACAAGTTCAACAGTGGCGAAACACGTCACAAAATCGACTCCAGACGCGCTTAAGTTAAGTAAAAAGTGTACAAAACCACAAAGTCTCAAGTGTGCTTACGATAAGTTAAGTCATCACTGCCATTATTGATTGTACGTGTTGATAAAACCGATAGACACATCCATGGATATCTCAGAGGAAAGCGTCACGTAAGTTTATCTACACTTCTATATTTGCCTAAAAGATGTATTTGCATATTGATTTTTAATTTTTAAAATAGTTCATCGGCGGAAGATGCGTACGACGTGTTTAATATCAAAAACATTCCATCGTTGCTTTCCTCGTATGATGAGAGCATTAACGAGGCATCACAAGGGTTGACAATGACATCCCTAGGTGCGTTTGTTTTTCTAAGTAAGTCTACACCTTCATAACCTTAAAATTTGGTAAAGGAAACAGTTTTAACCTAAATTTTGATATATTTAAGGTCAGAATGAATCAAAAGTAAGTTTCGGTTTCGAACCAACTGAACCTGAACCGGAAGAGGAGGTAGAAAGACTTTCTTTGGCTTATGAACGTCTTCATTGTATGCCAAAGGTTTTACTTTATGACTTGGCGCCAAAGATTAAAATTTTAGATATCAGCCATAATGAATTCGAGTAAGTTTAGCTATATTTATCAAAATTACATAAAAATATTAATTTTTTTCGATTTTAGAAATTTGGAGTTTCTCAAAAATTTCAAACAACTCACAAATTTAATCTGTGACCGTAATTATATTAACTCATCAACAAGATTACCATACATGCCGAAGTTAGAACTGCTTTGGTTAAATCATTGCAAAATCTACGAATTGTATCCGTGGATTAAATGTTTACAAGAATCCTGCCCGAATCTTAAGTATCTCTCATTGATGGGCAATCGTGGAGTGCCATCTGTTTTGCACAAAACAATTTTTGCGAATATTTACAATACAGGTATTAAATAATTATAAATTATTTATTATTAACATTTACCTTAACTTATTTTATTTTATTTATTTGTAGATTATATGTTATTAGTTTGTTTCCAAACTTGATACACTTAGATGACCAGGCAGTAACAGCTGAACAACATTTAGAAGCTGCCAAACTGAACAAAAAAACTATTTTAGAACGACTTTGTGCCAATAACAAAATCCCAGCTTATTTACGAACAATGACTGAGTTGTTTTCTTCGTCTGGATCAAGCTCAACATCTCCACCGCCAATGGGAAGCTTCCCGAATCAGAAACCCAAAAACGCGGTTATATAAAACATTCTTTTAAAACTATGACAGTTTAATGACATTTAGATTTAAGTTTTACAACCACAACTCGACTTACATTTAATATTCTCTTAATTATTACATATTTATATATTTTTTACTTAAATTAAACTAAAATTACAATAAAATAATTTGAAAATTTATACAGATGTTTAAACTGTTTTAAAAATTGGATTTCTAGCAAACTGCACCTCTTGATTGGCATAAAAGTGTTCAAATATTACAATTTCATTATCTCCGCGTTTTAAAAACGGCGCTGGAAGGTACAAACTTTGTTGTGGACCAATTACAGCGTGTCTTCCTAACACAAACCCATTTATCATGACAATACCCTTTGTCCAGTTCGACATATCCACATAAGTATCAGATGGTTCATCTTCAAACCTCAAAACTGCTTTATACAAAGCTGGTTTTGGTTTCTGCCAACTATGAACCGGATGCCATCCTGTTAATGAATTAGTCCATGACGATTTAAATTCCATTGGGTATATCTCCCAATCGTAAATGATTTTATCATCTAATTTGACAGGTCCTTGCCATAGACCCTTTAACTGCATAAATTGCTCTAGTTTACCAAAATTGTTACGTCCCCAGTTTTCAATAATCAAATCAATAGTAGATCCTTGTTTTGAAGAAGCATTCAATGCAATAATTGTATTCTTTATCCTCCAATAACCAGGACCATTTAGGTCTTTAGATTGTTGTAATGGTGGTGTTACCAAGACGCCATCTTGTAAGACCATTAAAGTGTCGCAAATTCTTCCGGAAATTTTTAACTGTCCACCACCTGGTGGTATAACCAAATTTTTCTTTCTATAAATAATGTAACCATAAGATTGTCCTGAATTATTATTCATTGGAAGGTATTCCATTGGCATTAATCTACTTCTTTCAAACTTGTACGGCAAACGACTTAAAATTTCCTCATAAGTGAGTTGTCCACTAATGGGAATACTCTGATAAGCAATCCGTAGGTTCACCTTCGGTGTTTGTGGTGTGCGTACTTTGATTGTGGAATATTGATGGATCAGTTCTTTGACGGTGACATACTTGTCCGTGTAATCGCCGGCCTCACTTAGCGGCGCGTCGTAATCATAACTTGTCGTCGTCGGTTGATAACCTTTGTTATCAATGGAGTTGTCGGCAATATTGGCGCCATTGAGAAAGCCGAAATTTGTCCCACCATGAAACATATACATGTTTACAGACGCTGGATATCTACAAAAGTATTAGTTTCAATATATGCTATCAAGTTACTATTTTGTTGTGTTAGGTTATGACATACCTTAGAATTTGTTCTAAAACTTGTTGAAACGCAGTGTTTTTCCTGGTATGATGTACCTCTGACCAATGATCAAACCATCCAGCCCAAAATTCCATCGCCATGATAGGTCTGTTCCCTTGTAACACCTTCAATTGATCAAACTCTTTATCTGGACTTCCAGCAAAGTTCGCCATTTGTAAAAAGTATTGAGGTAACGTCCCTCGATCCCCATGCTGCGTAGGTGAATCAGAAGTCACTAATTGTTCCACTATCCCATTATTTATAAACAATTGCCTTAGTTCTTCCAGGTAAACTTTATCAGGTTTGAAGTTCTTTGCCTCTGTACTGCCATATTCATTTTCCACTTGGAAGGCTATAATTGGGCCACCGAGTGTGAATTGAAACAACGCCAGCAATTTCAGTAAAACGTTAAAATATCGCGTGACATGTTGCATGTACATTTGCTGTGAAGTCCTGACTTTGATGCCTTTGTATCGTAACAACCAACTGGGAAATCCACCAAACTCCCATTCGGAACAGATAAATGGTCCCGGACGCAATATCGCAAAGAGATCTTCTTCCTGCGCGGTTTTGAGGAATTCTTCTAGGTGTAAAAAGTCAGACATGTCATGACCACCTTCTCCAAAGTCGAATTTGCCTTCTTGAGGTTCATGCAAATTCCAAGGCACGTAGGTTTCTACTGTATTGAGGCCAGCAGCACGCATCCGTCTCAAACGGTCCCGCCAATAAGCCCTGGGTACCCGGAAGTAGTGCATGGCACCGGAATAAATTGTAATATTACGATCATTTAAGGTAAAGTAAGGTTTGTCCGAATTTAGCCCCGAGTGTATTCGAGGCATGGTGTAATATTCATAAAGTGATGGTAATGCCGCACTTACAGCCATTTTGAATTAAATTTCCACTAAACTTCAATTAAGTCACTAATATCATTTAATGCACTTTATATTTATTATATTTTAACTTGTTTGACGCCAATAAACTTATTTTTAATGTTGACCGTGATGATGATGATTTGATGAGTTTACGAGCACAAGTTCAGTTCACTTCTGAGCGGCAGCCGCGGCGACCACGGCGAGATTGTTGTGCATCGCACGGAACGACATATAAATACACAATTACAATCACGACCGGACACCAAACACACAACTACACAGGCTCGTGCAGCGTACAACACGAGATAAAACAATTCCGACGGTGGTATTATTCAATCTGTGCATTGAGTGCACAGTAAGTGTGCAAGCAATTTCTTTAGTTCAAATTTCATTGGGAACAACATATAATAACAGCGGGTATAATCGTACACGAGCAATAAATCAAGTCAAAATAAAATTTAAAAAATTTGAAACGTGTTTTAATCTAACAGTAAATGCTCATGATAAAAGTTTACAGTTGGATGTAATAAGGTTAATAGTGCCCCATTTAGTAGGCGTTCCACCTAATGACCGCGATTATTATAATCATGAAATCAACGTAATATTACTGCATAGTATAAAATATTGGTTTCTCGTTGAATTCTAAATTCGCAGCATGTTCAAAATGCTCAAACACGATGATTTCATTACAACCAGGCTTCAATAACGGACCAGGTATGTAACAAGTTTGTTGTGGGCCAAGTTTAAAGTATCTGGACAGCACAAAGCCGTTTACAATGACAATGCCTTTGTTCCACTTGGACATATCAATGAAACTATCCCCAAACAGGTTTGCATCACTTGTGTCAGTATTATTTATGTTTAAATTGAATGTGTACAAAGCAGGACCAACGTAATCATTGTCAATATCTTCCCATCCAGCCCTAGTTGACAATAAATTGTTCAGTTTCTTTGAAAACGGTAGACTGACTACTTCCCAATCGAATATTTCAACATTATCGATGTAAATATTACCGGAAAGTCCACGAAATTGATTGAAGTCATGTAGTTTGCCATAATTCACACGACCAAAGTTTTCTACAATCAAATCTAGTCTGGCGTTTGTTAAAGTTTCATTAGTTAAGACAATTGTTGAATTTTCTGCTTTCCAGTAGCCAAATCCTGCGACGTCAGACGGTTTTTCAAAAGGTTTGTTTACTAGTTTACCGTTAACAAGAACCAAAACTGTGTCTTTTACTTTTTCTGATAGTTTTAAGACAGCTCCACTGGATAATGTACAAATAGTCTTAGAATAAACAATATAACCATATTGTTGATCAAAGTATTCCATGGTTTGGAGTTTATGACTATGTTTGACTTCAATATCAAATAATTTAATATAATTTGATAGTTTTAGCATTTTCTTTGTAGGAATCGATGAATATTTGATTTTTTTACTTTCAGCAGGCATCTCAGGCAACTTAATATTAATTGTGTTGTATTTGGCAATAAGCCTCTTCAAAGCATGATATTTTTCAGTGTAATCCCCACTTTCGGACAGAGGACAATCATAATCATAGCTTGAAGTATCAAAAGCGACATGGTTATTATCTTTCTCCATGATATTTGCACCATTGAGGAATCCCCAGTTTGTACCGCCATGAAACATGTAAAAGTTTACAGAAGCCGGAAAACTTAAAATATCTTCCAGTTCTTTGGCAAACTGATCTGTCGGGACAGTGTGATGTTTCTCACCCCAGTGATCAAACCATCCAGACCAGAATTCCATCACCATGAGTGGTTTATCTTTCTGAATACCTCTGAGGATGTTCAATTCTTTTACGGCGTCTGTTTGGAAGTTTGCAGTGTTGAGCAATCCTGGTATTGCACCCTGGTCGCCATTGGACGGTGTGTCACTGGTAAATAACAATTCAACAACACCATTTTCTTTGAACATATCTACCAACTTCTTTAAATAAACCTGGTCGATATCTTCACCTTCAACTTTGACATTTCCGTATTCATTTTCTACTTGGAATGCAACAATTGGACCACCTTTTGTAAACTGCAGCATTGCAAGTATTTTAAATAATGCGTTAAAGTAGTTTCCGACGTATTCAAGGAACTTTGCATTGTTTCTGCGTACGATTACATTCGGATCTTTGAGTAGCCATGATGGTAATCCTCCAAAGTCCCATTCTGAACAGATGTAAGGCCCTGGACGTACAATTGCAAGCAAATCTTCTTCTTGAGCTAATTTAAGAAACTCAGCAATGTCCAAAAATTGCTCAAAATCAGTGCCGCCTGATCCAAAGTCATAATATCCTGGTGATGGTTCATGAAGATTCCAAGGAACGTAGGTTTCGACTGTATTCAGACCAGCAGCTTTCAATTTTCTGAGCCTATCACGCCAGTAGGCTTTAGGAACGCGAAAATAATGAAGAGCGCCGCTATAAATAGTCAGGGGGAGATTGTTGAGTGTGAAGTGACTCGCGTTGATTGTAGTCAAGCCAGAATGAATCACTGGCTGCGTATAATGAGTGTAGATTGTCGTGCTTGGAGCAACAGACATTTTAAGCTGGAAATAAATAAAACAATTAATGCCAACACAGCAATTATGCAACTTTTGTAGATTTGTGTGAAGGTTACGAAAAATAATTCGAAACACGTTAAACTTAATTGTTATTTTGTGCACGTAAATAAGTGAAACAAGTTATATGGAAACTGACGACCTTCTTAAAATTAATCCTTCTTAAGTTTTAAAACAGTTTTATAATCTTCTATAAATGAGAACATGACTTACTACTTATCGGTTCTTTAATATCACACTTTTATCTAATAAACACACTTACTTTTTTAATTTCTTTTCCTGTTGTACTGATAAACAAGTAAAAACTTGCTATTTATACATAAATTGCAGCGTAGCAAAACGTTTTCAGCCGGCAAACACGCGCTACATTCAACTCAACCAACGAACATTCCGTTGTCAACTGCGCGCGCGTTTGTTTTACAACGGATTTCGAACTTGTTGCATGCATGCGACACCTGACGGTCATTGGGCACACTATTTCAGCGTCAGCACAACAAGAACATCAAAGTCAAAGAGAGAACCTGTTTCAGAAGCAGCGTCTTTTATATCACGCGGACGTGTTTCGGTAATACAGTCGGCCGGCAAGATAAAAATAATTCAAAATTGTAAAGTGAGTTCGCAAGCAGTAACCGTGTGAGATAATATAACATTATTTATTCGTACAGGACTCACATAACGTTTTCTCTATAAAATAAACGTACGCTGCCATATTTCAAGCGAAATAATATGCCTACGTGAAATTTTACAATAACGGTGAGATAAGAAACGATAATGTAAACAAACATTGGCTGTTTATCTCCTATCGGACAAAACAAAACACAACATTCTCGCGTTAAATCGTGTAAAGTAAAAATCATCGCCAAATGCAAAAACTGAATTCAGCTCAAAAAGGTAAGTTATTACCATTATTCTACTAATAAAATATATGCAACAAAGTTGTGAATATTTATTAAATTCTAAGTTGTAATACTTATACTCAATCATCAAGATAAATATTAAGTGTTTTCGCATACATTTCTTGCTTGTTTTCAATATTTTCAAACAACGGACGATTTACAAACCGTATAAAGTCGCCATTTTCGAAATGTTCAAACACTAGTATATCATTTGCGCCTGTTTTCAAAAATGGCGCAGGCAGATAGGCCGCTTGCTGGGGTCCTAGTTTACAATACCGCGACAAAACAAACCCATTGACGATTATGATTCCTTTGATCCAGTTTCTCATATCAACATAAGTATCAACTGGTTTACCACTTATAATAAGGGTGGCACGATACAAAGCCGGTCCTTGGAAAAACTTCGAATCACTCCATTTAGCCATTGATGTTAATTCCAAATTCCACTGTTTCTTAAACTCTAGAGGGTATATATACCAATCTTCTATTGGTTCACAATTTAGAAGGACTGGCCCTTGCCAAAGTCCTTTATATTGATGGTGAAGTTGTTTAAGAGAACCGTAATTCACCCGACCTGCGTTTTCTACAACTAAATCCAAGGTAGCATTCAAATATTCAGAATCAATGATGAGGTAGGAGTTGTTAAGTCGGTAATAACCAAAGTGGTTTAAATCTTTCATTGATTCAAGGACTTTTGACTTAAGTACCCCATTGATTAGTACAACAACAGTATCAGATACATATCCCATGATTCTAAGCAGAGAATTTGCTGGAATGTAAAGATTTACTTTCCGATAAATAATATAACCATAGCTTTGACCAGCGCCATTGTTAATTGGTAATAATTCCATGGGCATTAAAGTCCGGCAAGTTATTTGTGGTAATTTACCAAGAAGTTCTTCAAGTGGAAGCATACTATGAATATTAATGAGTTTATACGCTGTTCTCTTGGATAAACCAGGCATAAGTGGTAATCTGGTACGATATTGATTGTATCTGTTGATCAATCTCTTAGTACTGTAGTATTTATCAGTATAATCACCGTTTTCACTCAAGGGAGCATCATAATCATAACTTGTTGTATCTGGTTGATATCCTTCCTGCCCACAGTATTTGTTTGCATAGTTAGCACCATTCATGAACCCAAAACTGGTCCCACCATGAAACATATATAGGTTTACTGATGCAGGAAATCGTAGTATGGTTCCCAATGTGTAAGAATAGTCTGTGTTTATGATTTGATTATGACTCTCGCCCCAGTGGTCAAACCATCCGGCCCAGTATTCCATCACCATTAGAGGTTTACCAGGTTGAGTGCCAGCCATAATCTCTAGTTCTTGTTGTGGTTCAGCTTGGAAATTACCAGTGGATAGAATGTTTGGCATTTGGCCTGTGGTACCTACTGAAGGACCATCTGATGTAAAAAGTAGTTCTACTATTCTGTGACGTCGGAGTATACGTTTGAGATGTTTCAGGTATTTTTGATCTTTACGTCTTAGACTTCCGTATTCGTTCTCAATTTGGAACGCGATTATAGATCCACCTTTGGTAAACTGTAGTACGGATAATATGTGAAGTAAGAGGCGAAAATATCTTTCAACAAATTTTATGAAAATATTATCACTGGTCCTAACGCGTATTCCGTTTGTTCTTAGAAGCCAACTTGGTAACCCACCCCATTCCCATTCAGCACAAATATAAGGTCCAGGTCGGATTATCGTAAAGAGATCTTCTTCTTGTGCTGTTTTTAGAAATTGTTCCAAGTTAAGCATGTTGCCGAAATCGCTGGTGCCGTTACCAAAGTCGTAGACTCGTGGTTCGGGTTCGTGGAGATTCCAGGGAATGTAGGTTTCCACTGCGTTTAGACCAGTTGCACGCATTTTACGTAATCTATCACGCCAGTATTCTGACGGGACACGGAAATAGTGCATTGCACCCGAGTAAATTGAAATATTGCGGTTGTTTAAGGTGAAGTAGGAGTTAGATGCGGATAGACCGCTGGTTATGCCACCACATGTGTAATATTCGTATAACGTGGGCAAATTCATTCAATCAGACGTGGGTTCTATCCGATTTGAAAGACATTGTCAAAATAATTTGAATGACACTATGTAGATGTCAACAAAAATCAATTAGGATATGTCTGACGGAGATTGAAGGACGGTATAATTTATAGGGACGGTATAGATGTCTTTTTGGTCTTTTGGGGATTTTCCGCAGTCTATGTTTTTGGAGTTGCGTTAACTCTCAGCGCACTCGTCTTCATACCTGTGACCGACCCGCAAAAGAGTGGGGATCCCTGTTTCATGACGAGCGCGCGCGAGTCTTCCTAAGTCGTCCAGCACTCTAATTGTACACCTCACGGTTCTTCTCTTCCCTCTCCTTGTTTGGGTCATTGGATCAGTCGTTCATGAAAAGTAAATATTGATAATTAGGATATAATTTCATATTATTTTCAAATATGTAGTAATCTTTATTAACAATTTCACATTTAAAATTAAATGCCCCTTAAATTTTCATCGTTAGATTTATACACGGTTTCAAATATTTGTTTATCGCTGAACTTAATGCTGTCGGAACCATTAAAATGCTCAAACACCAAAATTTTGTTTTCTCCCTTCTTTAAGAAGGATCCAGGAAGATACAAAGCTTGTTGTGGTCCCAGTTTACTGTATCGTGATAACACATAATCATTGACAATAACAATACCTTTGGTCCAATCTCTCATGTCCACATAAGTATCTAACAACTCTTCATTTTCGTCCACAGTTAATGTAGCTTTGCATAATTTAGGTCCAGTTAATTCAGTACCATTACTAGGTGTCCAGTCTTCCCAATAGGGGTTGGAATACCAAGGGAATTCAACAGAGATAATATTGACATCTTGCAATGGTTCATCGTTAATAAGTACTTGTCCTTCATGAAACCCTTTTCGTTGCTCAAACTGATGAAGTCCACCGAAATTAACTCGACCCCAGTTTTCCACAATCAAATCTAGAGTACAATTAGTACATTCTGGCAGTTCTAAAACTTGGTCCTTAGATTTCCAATACCCAAATTTAGTAAGATCATCAGGATGGTTCAAAACAGGGCTTAGAAGTTCTCCATTAAGCAAGACCATCAACGTATCTGTTACGTATCCCAGGACCTTTAGTTTTGTATTTTCTGGTAGGTCAATTTGTTCCTTTCTGTATGTAATATATCCATACTTTTGATCTACCTCCTCCATGGTTACCAATTCTTCAGATTGTTTATTAGGGAGAAAATCATGTTGTAACATCTCCGAAAATGACATCTCGTCAGTTATCTCTATTTCTGGATATGCCTTAAGAGGTTTTGATTCTGGTGGGTCTGGAATACTCACTGGATTTTTTCCATGTTCTTTCAAGATTTCACGAATCACCCAGTATTTTTCTGTATAATCCCCATGTTCATTTAAAGGCGCATCGTAGTCATAACTATTTGTAGTAGGTTGGAACCCTGAATTATCACCAGCACCATTTCCGCTATTTGCTCCATTCATAAAACCAAAATTGGTCCCACCATGAAACATGTAGAAGTTAACACTTGCTGGATAGTTCAGAATTTCCAAAAGTGTAGCAGTGAATGAAAATATATCTGTGGTATGGTGTTGTTCAGTCCAGTGATCAAACCATCCGCTCCAGTATTCCATAACCATTGATGGTTTACCAGGTTGATAGGATTGTGCTATATTCAATTGATTTGTAGCATCACCCGCAAAATTAGCAGTGTATAACACTCCTGGTATTTGCCCTAAATTCCCTATACTAGCCCCATCTGACGTAAACAACATTTCCTTAACGCCGTTGTCCAAAAAGAGCTGTTTCAATCCGTTCAGATAAGTCATGTCCCTCTCACCAAGGCTACCGTACTCGTTTTCAATTTGATAAGCGATAATGGGTCCACCCGAGTGCCAATTCAGAACAGACAGGATAGATAATATCATTGTGAAGTAGCTTGTTACACGGGCCATGAACAATTCATCACTGGTACGTACCCGGATACCTTTATTCTTTAGTAACCAGGATGGTAACCCACCAAATTCCCATTCGGAGCAAATGTAGGGTCCTGGTCGAATGATTGCTAGTAAATCTTCTTCTTGTGCAATCTCCAGAAAGCGTTGAATGTTCAGGAGATGACTGAAGTCGGACCCACCATTACCAATATCGTAAACTCCGTCTTGGAATTCGTGTAGATTCCAGGGAATGTAGGTTTCTACGGTGTTCAAGCCAGCAGCGCGCATCTTTTGCAACCTGTCACGCCATTGGTCTTGGGGTACACGGAAATAGTGCATTGCACCGGAATAGATGGTGATGTTCTTGTTGTTTAAGGTGAAGTACGGTTGGTCCGTTGAGAGGCCGGCGGATATGCCACCTCCCGCGTAGTATTCGTAAACAGTTGGTAGAGACATTCTTCGTTTTCTGAAGACATTGTAATAGTGTTAATTTAGATTTTCTGTTGATTTTTTTGATTATTAACTGAGCTTACCTCCTCTTTGTGACAAAATTGAGAAAACTGAGGTACTTATGATGTTTTCTTGGTTTATATACTGTTCCATGTCTATATCTAATCTTTTACAAGTATTTTGAACATATTTTGTGCTGTATTATTGGATTAATACATACTTGACACTATCTATATACGAATTATACTTGTTTTCTTTGAGATAATCGTCCTGGGTATCAAACAGGACTACAATTTGCTAGTTATTAATCAAAAATACAATTTATACATGAAACTGGGCAGGTGTCGACGGTTTTTCTTGTATTTTGTTCTTTAGAATACTTCTTTTTTAGTAAATTTTGATGAGGCTCGATGAAATTGCCAAAATATTACCAAAAAAGAAAAATATTTAAAAGTACTTAAACGTATTGCTATAAATAAATGCATTTCTACATTGGAAGAGAAGTCTATGAGCAGATAAGCATTTGTTAAAAATATATCATCTCCTTTTAGATTAGCTCACACTTCACTAATGATAGGTTTATGAGGAAACAAACAGAATTGAAAACATTTTAAGTTGTTGAACAAGTTGATCTACATCAATAATCATGTTTAAATTGCATGATCAAGCGAAATAAACATTAATATCACTTCAATCGTTAATTAACACTTGAATAATTGCACCTGTATGTTTCCAAGTGAGTAAAGTTACATTTTTGTGCTGAAACGGCGAATACCAAGTTCATTTTAGGTCATTTTTTAAATAGTTTTATTATAAAAATATTATATTTTACAAATTTTACATTTTAAATATGTCTTCTTTGTGGTTTATACAAAAATAAGCACCTCAACTGTTTCATTTACCTACGATAATTTTATAAAAAATAAATTTCTTTCTTTTTATCAAAAAATACAAAAATAAACTATAAATCAATAAATTTTCGCTTAAATTCTCAAAATTAGATTAGATTCAAACATTTTGCCAACTTGCGTATTTCTTACATATTAATATATAAGTTATCTTAACTTTAGGTACTTCTTAATTCTTCGTCGTCTTACTGTCTTACGTTTTTTATGGTTGTTTGCTTAAGTTACTTAGCTCGTAGTCTCTGGTTACTTCGGAATTAAATTTTACTAGTGTTCTGTATGCGTTGGCATCGAAGTAACCATGATTGGCATGTGGGGGTACTAAGGTAATGCTTATTTCTTGAACAAGAACGGGTGAGAGTGGTAATCTGATGGCAACGGGGCTGCGTGCGCTGGACTGGCAAAGTCCTTCCACATAGAAAGATCAACAGCTGGCAAAGCATCGCATGGAACAACATTGTTGCTAGAATAATAAAAAATAACAATTAGTTTTGTTCAATGTAAAAACATGGTAAAATTAGGATTTACCTGTGGGAAATTCTTTCGAAACCTTTAGGTTGCATAGCCTTGACGTGGTGAGAGTTATCGCACAACAGACGAGAAATACTAGCTTTCCTAAGTTCAGCCAATTGTCCTAAAAAATAATTTTATAGAAAAAGCGAAAAGCGAAAATTTAAATTTAATGTTTACCTGGAGTGAAACCGTTAACATGCTCGCTGTGTTCATACCAGAAGCGATCACCAGCACGTGTTCTAAAGAATTGCTCTGTAAGGATGCAGAGGAAAGTGGGACCAGCCAGGGTTCCAGGTACGTGCGCTTCCAATGATCCACCAACAGTTAGATCCACATCATCGGGTGATCCATACAATTGACTCAGTTTAGCTACATTCTATAAGAAAAAATATTATTAATAAACTATACTAGAGAACAATATTAATATTCTTACATCCTTGGAGATGACATCAGAGAAATCATCGAATGTGTGGGCCTTTGGCAATCCGCAGAATTGACGCATATCGTTGTACGAAGCCAGACCATGATCACGATTACGTTGTACATCAAGAGCTTTAAGATCTGTACCGAATGGGGCATTTCCTCTGAATAAGAATTGTGTGATCTGTTTACAAATAACAAAAACATATAAAAATGTTTTCTACACAATGGAGTCTGGAAAATATATACCTCACTGTCGTGGAATTGATCATTGTCCATTTCCGGTTGCGTAGATAACCCACGAGACAAGTCATCAAAGTTATTTCCTTGTTCAAGGACGCTTGGGCGCAACAACCAGTCGCTAAGGCGCAGATTGCCATAAGAATGACGATGTTCAGTAACAAGACTAAAATAAAAATCAGAAGTTAATCAAATTCATTCTAAACCATTCTTCTGAACACTCACTCAAGACGTCCAGCGATAGCAGAATGGAAATATCTGAAAGCGGCAGTAGAATGCTCATTGATAATGGTAGGATCAACAGTTTCTTGGTAATCATCAACTTGTCCTTTAGTATCGTATAAGATTCTGTTCTTCAAAGAGTTTTCCAAACCAATGAAAATCGGGAGCCATTCATAGTATGAGATATGCTGATGTTCAGCAATGGCTATACGACGGGCTTCTTGGAAGATAGTCTCATCATTCCAATGAGGATTGAGCGTAGAAAGAGCATCAGCAATACGGTTATGTTCACGTAGGAGAACGATTTGTAGAAGAGTTAGTTGAGGGTTTTGGTTGACGCGACTATCACCAGCCATGTAGCAAGCCTCTTGAGCTGATTGAATAGCACATCCGGAGGTGTTGGTGGCACGTGGTGGCCATTGTTTTCCATTACGGACATCCACACGCATACGTCCTCCACGTTGTTCGCGAAGTTGACGAGCCATGTCATTATTGTTACCGTAAACGATGGAAAGATCCAAGAAATGGTTTACTGCAGTCAACTATAGAAGGAAAAATTGAATTAATTTGTGTTAAGAGGTGGTTCGACATAAATATTACCTGTTCAGCTGGAGTGTAAGGAGAAACACATCTTCTATCCTGAGTAGTGATGGTACGCACGAAATTGATACATTTAGTATTTGTTTGAGAATGGGCAGGGTCATCATTGGGAACCAACAGTGGGAAACAATGATCTGGTGAGTTGGCGAGTTCAAGGAGTTGTCCATCATCGGTACAACAACGTGTTTGATGAGGTTCTAAACAACAACAAAAAACAATAAAATAACCCCTTACCCTTTATTATAAATATAAAATGCCACTTACGAGCTTGGGTACTGCCAGCAATCATACTCATATCATGAGTAATAATCTGACCATACTGCATAGCAGCAAGCGTCCATTTTGGATCTTCCAATGGGACATCCGGGTACATCACTAAACTAACAACTCTAGCTGGAGGCAAAGGTTTACCACTCTTAGATTCGGTTGGTGTGCTAATACCATCAGCATATTGAGCAGGTAGTAAACGAACATAGGGAGTGTTTGGGGTACCAAGAACTGGGTTTTTTAAGATTGTTGCAAGAACCATCATAGGAACGATAACGTGTTTTGGGGCAGGAAGCTGGTGGGGTACCACAACCTAAAGTGATTGGGTCCACAGTAGTGGTTTGTACAGGGGGAGCAGCAGTGGGTCCAAAGAAACTAAAAACAAAATTTTCGATATTAAAATCTTTATATTTCCACAAAAAAAAAACTATTTACTTACCTGTCAAAGTTAGGTTGTCCCAAAAATTGTTCCTCACTACTTTCAGCACTCAGAGAATTATATCCAACATCATAAGGATGATTAAACAGAGATGATCTGGTTTTGTCATCATGGTTTAAAAAGACAAAACTTGTTGATTGTGGGTCTGGGCTTGCGGTAACAATCACCACGGCACATTGAAGTGCCACCAACGCATACAGCCACATCGTAAATTCCTTTAGAATTCAATCTGCAATAAAATAAATCATAAATTTTAATCAAATTATCCAAACGATTAAAATGAAAGTATTACAAGTTTAATAACAATTCATTTCACTTCATACAGTTTATTCTTGTATACAGCTCAACGTGATTCCACCCAGAATAATAAGCAGTAATTAATTGCGAAAGGCATTGATTAGCAATGAAACACAGCAATTTTTATCCAAGTATTATGCACAGGCCTTCACATTGCTGATAACTGTGCAAGAACCACATTCGTTTTGCTATTTTAATGAGCTCATTATGCCTATAAACTTGCAACGCCTATAATAACTTGAAAATCATTTTAATTATTGCAACATTTGCGCATTTCTAGATTTTACAGTTTCTTTTATAGCGCTTTGTCTAAAAACATACTTTAGTATTATGAAAAGGACAAAAACAATAATAAAAAGCATGCTTTGTTATACATTTGTATTTGTTTGAAATGTAAGTTTACACGCACAATCGATGCCAATCAATTTACAAACGCATGTGAATCCGTCCGCTTGTTCGTTCGCTGTTAATTACCTAATTAAATACGCGCGCGTATTTTTTCTACACGTTCTCATTGCGTCTAATGTTCGGCAAACACGCTAGCCAACGTAACCGGTGTGTCGTGGGTTGCGAGTTGAAAAGTGTGCGATGAAACGATGAAAGATGAGAATTGAAAAACGTCACACACAGAAGCCACACATACTTTATAATTACTTAATTATTACTTAAGCGTCAAGCGCACGTCTGCACGTCTCGTTAGATGTGTTTTAATTGTAATTGAGTTGGCACACCAGGACGTGCAATTTAAGTTTACTCACTGCTGTTTGTATATTAAGTATATTTTTTATAATTATTATTATAAAAACTCTCTCACTACTCCTGCTTCTGCTCTTCTATATGAGAATATAAGTGTAGTTTGCTGTTTTCATGCTTGATTAGTTTTATTTCTTTATTTATAAACATTTCATTTGTATGACGACTTAATTAGCGATTTCCTCTGGTTTTCTTGCGTTATTATTATTTTATTTTAATAATTTTGCATGCTGTAAGTGTTGCCTGTCATTAATATAGTTGTTAAGTACTTTTTTCCGCGCTTTACAACTTTACAAAGTTGTGGTTTTATTTTTTTATATTCCGTGTTGATTCGTTGCGATTTGTTAAGTTGTGTTTTGAAAAGAAAAACAGTTTCCTTGGAAATTGTGATTTTGTATAGATTTGATGCGGTTTATTCGACATTTCAAGATTATTCGATTTTCCACTTGTTGTGTACATTATATTTTTTGCTCACCTGATTGTTATAACAATCATAATGTTAATAATAATGATTGAAGTATGAAAATGTGGCAAATATTGCACAGTTTACACTTTATTTGAACCACTTTATGAATAATTTAATAATAACCTTACTTTCGACGATCAAGGTTATGGAATGACCGCGCACATTTCTTACTTCTGACTTCTTTTTAGGTCCTCTCCCTTTTTTAAACTGCAGCTGTGTGAAGTTCTGAAAACTCAAACCCCTCGCAGTAAGCGTGACTCATCCGTTGGAATTCTACTAATGTGAGTACTTATACATTTTGGAGGTTATAAACTTGCATTTATTTTATAACCTTTAAATATATTTTCTGCTCGTAAAATAAGACATAAACCAAGATCCCACGTGTTATAATCTCATAAAAAAGAAATAACTTTATTTCCACTCCAATAATTTACTCATTCGAAGAAAAATAACCGGCAAAAACTAATTCTCCGCCTGTCAAGTGACTTTCAAGCCGACTGATTCAATTATTCGCGGTTTCGCCGCGATTTGCATTCGCTTTCCGAGGCATTGAATTCTTGAGACCTTGCAATAAGTAGCAATGCGAATATAACCACCGTCGTCGGTATATCTATCGACAAATGGTCGGTACTCAGCACAAATCAACAATAAACCATATTGAACAATATCCGGCCGGCGCAATTGTTCACTCTTTACATAAATTCATGTTCAATCACGTTCGAGGCGTTTAGCTTCGATTTGTTTACGTCCGTTGTTAAGTTAATGATCGTATTTTACTCACAATCATTAACTTTGTGCGCGGGCACAAGCAGACACAGCTTGCAAACAATTGCAATCGCAGAGATAATAAAAAACAAAACAACGCTAAAAGTGAATTTATGTTTTATGGAGTGTTGGAAATCCGTAGGCGTTGTAATGATAATGTATATTTTACTTCAACATTTGAAAGATTCCAGTTTATTATACTTACGAGTGCGCTTATTTTGCTTTTCTTTAAATGTTGATATAATCGCTCTGCATCGCTGATAACTAGCTGTATCAGGTGAAAGCACGAGTTATGAATATGCAAAAGTGAATTAATCTTGAATTAGTGCCTGTTTAACTTTTCGATCGGCAATAAAATTGAAATCGACAAGAATAAGACGAAAAGGAAAGGAAGAAATTGGTTTGTTGGAAATGTTTCCTCATTATCAATCAAGCGCGGTTTTGTAGTCATTTAGAACAAGAATTCGTAACGAAATTGATATTTACAGGCCTATTAGACGGAAGGAAATTTACTATATAATTTTAAAATCAATTTGCTTCTTATTTTTGAGAGTTATTAGCTGAATAATACGTTGCTATAGCAACTGCAACAAAAAAATCAACCATTATCGCATTTGACACTTGAAAATAATAAATTTAACAAGCGGAAGTGAGTTAATGTTAAATTTATTATCCAGATTTGTTCTAGTTTATTTATTTGCACGAATATCACGACGACGAAGGCGATAAACGTCAATATCGCGATTATTCCGCTATTGTATAACGAAATAAAAAGCGTTACATAGTTTTCATTCTATTTTCCAGTTTCCTGTTTCTTAAGAATGTGCATTATGTAAGAATGCGAAGAAATTCAAATCGATTATAATAGACACAAAGTGCATAAACAAGCAATGTCAACGGCAAATTTAATTTGTTGTAAAATGTCAAAGTTGAGCATCGACTGAGACACATTCAGGTTTATTCACCTTACATTTCACCTTTAAGACGTTTTTTATTTATGTTTTTTATATGACTCAACATGAATGAAATTACAAATCAATGAATGAAGTTTTTTTCGAGTTTAAGTTTATCGTGAGAAACATTCAAGTTCAATGTCAAAAAAATAAATAAAATATTCAAATGAGGTAACTTGTTTAATGTCAGGTATTATTAAATATAATAATAATTTTATCTGCTGCGTTTATCTTTATTAAATATTTCTAAATGTTTAAAGTTTAATTTGTAAGATAATGAGATGAAAGTGTAAACTTTGTTAAATTTATCAAGATGCATCTGGAGCTTCTTTGCTTTACTAATTAATTGTTAACATTTGTCGAGTTAGCAATTTGTAGTTAACAAATTTTCATTTAGATTTCTCAACTTTCATTTAACTTTTCGAAAATATAATTAAAAGAATAACCATTTATGACGAAATGTGTTTCACTTGAACATCTCATGATTAACAGAAAACATAAAATTTTAAATTAGAAACAATATTGCAAATAAATTTTAACTATTAATTATTTCTCATTATGAACCAAGAAAATAAACCGTTCACCTAACTATTTCCGTTCACCTTTCATATGCATTTGTATAACACGTAAACGATTAACATGACATCATGACAAATATATTATTCCAGATAAACATCTACGATTAATTGAATATTTATCTATCAGGCATAAAGTGAATCAATTGTATTCCACTTTCCTATTCTTATGGTTAATATCCTCGTAAATATCTTGAATGTCAATATTTATATACATTAGATAATAAATTATTTAATTAATTAAATTACAAGACAGTAGAGCGAAGAAATAGAGTTACACTTGAATTAATCGAGTGAATGTCTTACAAAAATCAAAACATGAATAATTTTCAGATTAAATTTAATTTAATCACCATACGAAGAACAGAAACGTAATTGTTTTTTACTCGCTGTTACTTTTCATGCGAGTATATTCCAAAGATTCTAGAATACTTTAAGACTTTGGTCAGTTGTATAGGAACAAGTAAACTAATTACAATAAAAAAACTAGCACGACATGTGCTCCAAGTAAGTTATTACTAATTAAAATATTTGCTTTTGTTAAATGGAACACTTCCTGAATGTATAATTTAATTGTTGTGTTGCGAATAGTTAAAAACAGATTTAAATTGTATCTGGACATAGCTGTTATTGCATTAATCTTTTAATTGAAGCATTAAAGTGAACTATTAAAACTTACTTAGCATATTTCAATCATTAAACGACAATAAATCATTAAATAATTACTTTTAATTTCAGCTTATGTTTAAATGGTTATTAAAGAAAGTTGAAATGTCCAAAACTTGTCAATCTTAGAGAGTTTAAAATAGATTCAGTGAAATTATGTAAATATTCGAAATTTGTTCAAACTGGATCATGTAGCAATTAATTTACATTCCTGGATTATAGATAAGAAAGCGACAAATTTTAAATTTTAATTTTAAAACTTACACGATTTAATACTTCCGATATTCTGCAAAATTTATACAATGTATAAGTGTATTCAATTAGCTACATCCTAATACTAATACAACAAATACGCTGTTTTGTGCGTTAATATTATTCCAAAGAAAGTTTTTGTAGCAAATGATTTGTTTCCTCGATTTAATTTTCTGCTTATGCGTGAAAATAATGAAACTAAGTGCGCTGCGCACCGCAAGAATGCGGCTCATGTTGTTCTATATTATCCGTTCCTCTTGCCGTGTTCTTGCTTTGTTGTCGGCTGTTTGTTGTTTATTATATCTTGTCACGCATTACGTAAGGCATACACCTCGCCTTGCTGATACCGCCATTAACGCTTGCATGCTGGAAAGTCTGTTGTTTGATGTTTAGAAGAAAGCCTTGGCAGAATTTTTGACGGTGTAATTTACGTCAAACAAAATACGAGTACGAATAACATTGAATTGAAAAGAGTAAAAATGATACACATATTAATGAGTTACATCCTTCATAGCACTTGAAGAAAAATAATACACATTTTGTGTTGTTAGCCATCACTCACTTCCGTTTTTTTATGAAATGGGTTTTGATTTCGGTTTAGTTTTCGATACAAAGATATAATTTGTATGTGTTTAGATCATGTTAATTTGCTTTCTTTTTTTAAAGATTTTTCATTCACGTCCTGTCATGTAATAAATACACACTTGTACAACACTTTCAAAATTTGTTCCTGAGTGTAATTTTAGTAATTTCCTGAATTTTAAAAATTAGTTAAGGTTTCGAATGTGATTTAAAATTGGTAAGCGACGATAATATAAATTATTCATGGTATTTTGTTTATAATTATCATCAAAATAACTATTTGTTTAAATTTTAGTATTCAAATCTTTTAACACCATAATTCATCAAAGAATAAACACATAATAATTGTTGAAATGACTTAAGTCATTAAAAACTTAATCTTTAATTTTGTAACAAAATTTCATTTCAACTGTTTATTTCGCTTTAATTAATGATTTATTCTATGTGATAAATACTTATAAAGACGTTTAAAGTGAAAATATTAATATATAAGTTACTAGCGACCCGCTCCGGCTTCGCACGGTTGCAATACTGATACTAAATACACTACAGAAAAACTGTGAACCTTGTAGTATAAAATATATAGCCCATGTAATTAAAATCGATCCAGTAGTTTTGATTTATTCATTACTGTCCGTGGCCCGCACGCGTTAAATTTGGAGTAAAACAATCCCCCTTTCCCTATACCATGAAGATTTCCTGCTATCTTTGGAATATCTAAATTCATACACTACATTTTTCCTAATTTACTTTTTTTTACATTTTATAGTATGTGCCACAGTAAAAAATATCTAAATTCTTACCATTTAGAAACAAAAGATAATCAACAATCATAAAAAACAAAAGATACCTATTCTATTCAGTTCTTTTTTTTTACTGAAATACCTCTAATTTATATTTTAAAACTACTATCATACAATTATTTATCGTAACTTAGTTATAATTACTGATACGTTGTCGCGCTGAAAAGCTCGTTTTTATTACCTAAGTATTACTATTTTCCTCGCTGGAGAGCTCCGATATAATAAACGTGCCCGATCGCTGCGAAAGTCAAAGTGCTATAGAGAAAACCGCGGCCGGCCGGTACCGCCAAAAACGCTACGTCCGCAATTTTAAAAATCCGTTGCGTAGTTTCAAAAATTTAAGCATACAAAGGGACAGACAGAGAAAGCGACTTTCCTTCTCCAAACAAAAACATCAACCGATCAACTTCAACCCACACGTACACCCATGCACACGTCTATGCTTAGGGGAAGCTACGAAGCATCGCACAAAGAGTAGACGGCGACAATAGAAAGCTTTGTTGAGTAAAGTTAAGTAAACACTTACTGTACGCTATACCCTCACAATATCGCCAAAACGATATTTTTACTAAACCATTGCAAGTCAATGCAAGTATTTGTCAAGCCTGATGTGGATAGCTATTTCGACCATTAGAGGTCTCATCAGCACACCTACTGGCTTGACAAATACTGCATTGACCTGCCA